ACATTAGCAAAATGAATTTCTTTTCCACAGGCTTTGCAGACTTTTCCTCTTGCTGGGCAACTATCCCTCCGGTGAGGTCCTTGACCACAAAACATGCATACTTTGTAATTAGAATTTTGGTTGAGTCTATTGCTGACAGAAAATTTCTGATTTCGTTGCTGTTGACTAACTTTGTTTACTGTCGGATCTGCATTAAATTTACCAATTCTCTGGCTTTGTATAAGTGCTTGTTCCAGTTTAGTAGCCGTCCCAACTACATCAACAAACTTTACAGTATTGTTAGGGTGTTCTCTTATAAGGTCTTGTTGCCATTGGAGATTGTTTATACCAATTACAAACTGATCTCTTAAACGTTCATCTAAATTAATACCAAACTCGCAGTATCCAGCCAAGGAACGCAGTGGAAGTACGAACTGTGAGATTGTTTCGTCTTCTTTTCTATAACGTGTACCAAAAACAACGCGTTCCGATAACACATATGTTTTCTTACCAAAATATTCGGTCAAAACGCTAATTAATTGACTAAAACTTTTTGTAGTGACATCAATTGGTCGAAAATAATCGACAAGTACTTTAAAAGCAGTTGGACCAATTCTTGAAAGTAAAATGTTTTTACGTTTTTGTTCATTTTCATCTGACAGTAGGCCATGTAACGAAAGTTCAATGTTGAAACGTTGAATATAATAGTCGTATAATAATCGTATAGGATTAGATACTGCGAGAAGCCCATTGCTTTTTTTCCTCCTAGATTTTATCTAAGTTTATATACACCAAAGTTCATCAAAATGCCTTCTCCCACCAATCCCGCAGTCTACTCCTGCATAGTACACCGCGCCATCACTTTGTCATTGTTGTAACTTTTAAATATTTATTTAAGAGGCAAATTTTATCGTCTTTAAATATCAACGATAAAAGTCTTTGTTTTGATAAAAAATAATTTGTTAATACAAAATTTGTATCTTGGAAATGGATATCAAATTTTTTTTTTTGGATTCACTGTCTTAGCGATAACGACTTACACATTCAAAATTGATATATGCTGTCGCGAACTTTTTTATAGAACTAGTAGCTGTCCCAGCGAACTTCGTACCGCCATAAAAAAATAGGGGTTGGTGGTAGAAGGGTGAAAATTTAGGGTAGTACGGTATTTATTTTTGTATATGATACATACAAAAAATAAATTTTGTCCAAAACAAAAATTTAAGGGTGGACCACTCTTAAAATTTAGGGGGATGAAATATAGATGTTCTCCGATTCTCAGACCTACTGAATAAGCATATAAAATTTCACGAAAATCGGTCGAAGTACTTCAATTACGCACACCGTAACACGAGAATTTTAAATTAGATTTAAGAGATGCATTTTTACTAATACTTTATATTCATGTAACTTTTATTGTTTTTGCAGTGCAAGCCAAAATGGCTCGCAGATTGCTGATTTTATTCTCCGTGACATTTATTGATCTTACGTGACACTTTTTGTAATATTTTGGCCAAATCACTCAAAAACTACATACATTTTATCTATATATTATAATTATGTATAAGCTATATTATTGTTGTTTCATTATAAGCCATTCCGTTTTTTGGCGCATTTTTTGGGTGAAAGAGTAACAAAGATCCATACAAACGTAAGATAGAAATTAAAAGCGTAAGTGGTTATTATAAAACTCTAAATCGTTGTAGATCGTAAACAGTGACATAAAATTTAAATGGTGTGAGGTTCGAACTGCTTTTATGGATGAAGGACCTTCAAAAGCAACCATCTACTGATGCTGTAGCGAGTTCAAACGCGGTCGTCTTACTTTGGGAGATGAACAAAGGAGTGGTCGTCGTACGACGGCTGTCACTTGGACGACGACGAGACGGATTGGTGCAGTGATATGATACAAACATTTTATTGCAGGCTCGTCACGGCGTGTTTACGATATTGTGACAGGTGACGAATCCTGAATTTATCAATACGATCCAGAAACAAAGCGTCTGTCGATAGTTTGGCTGTTTCAAAATGAACCAACGCCTACGATAGTGAAGCGATGGAGGAGCGCAGGGAAAATTTTGATCGCTAGTTTCTTCACTTTGACGAGGTACCAAATTTCAATTCCACTTCGAGACCAAAGCAGCATCAACGGCGAATGGTATAGCACAAAATGCCTGCCAGTAGTTTTTTCTGCAATGAGCAACAAGCGACCTAACACCGGGCTCCGCGGGGTCCTTCTTCACCACAACAACGCGCCCGCGCACTATGCGATCAAAACGAAGGACTTCCTGGACTCCTCACCAGTCAGTCTTCGGGCACTCTCCTTACAGTCGTGATTTGGCTACGTACGACTTCTTTTTATTCCCTAAAATAAAAAATTAGCTCAAAAGGATACAGTTCTCATCGCCGGAAGTTGCGCTAGGAGCGTTTGAGAAGGCCGTGGAAGAGGTGTCTGCGGAGGACTGGAAAAATGTTTTTCAGACGCATGAAACTTCGTATAGAGGCAGGTAGAGAGTTCTTTGAAAAGATTTAATAAAAACATTTGTTTACTTAATAGAAGTTAGTTTTTTAAACTATATAGACGGGTAAGAGTCCTTTCACCATGACTTCTACTTTCCGAGTCACTTCTGTCTCTGTGATCGAAAGTCTCGAGCTGCTTGTCATAAATTGTCTAATGACTTAAATTTCAGCGCCAATCCAAGGCGCAACTGAAGCTATGAAACTGGGACTCACTAGTTAATCTGTTTTATAAAAGGCAACCGTTACTGACCGACTAATCTATCAACGCATAGCTCAAACCTTTGAACAAATTGCGCTGAAATTTGGCACACATAAAGATATTATGATGTAGGGGTGCACTTACAAGGGATTTTCCAAAACTCACCCCCTAAAGGGGTAAAATAGGGGTTCAAAGTTTGTATGGGAAACTAATATTTCCACGCAGACGAAGTCGCCGGGAACCCACTAATATATTATATAATATTGGAACTCTTCCATATATTGTGTATTAAGCTTCTTTGCTCCTTTGACCTTGTTGAACTTTTTTATAGCCGTTTGAAAAATATTTTGTAGAATAACGCTACCTAACTCCACAACTATTTGTCAGTGTTTATTTTCCGATTTGGAATTAACTAACGCGTTTCATTGGCGTTAAATATCTCTGATGTCCCAGTTATAAAGGTAATGTTAAAAAAATCCTAGTTTGACTATGACCTTTACAGGTGTTATAAAAGTATGTCCCGGACACTTCCGTCGGCCTACTTAGTATCATAAGTATGGAGGTTAGAGAGAAGGAGAACGATCGCTACGTACTATAGCATTAGCCCGTCTGACCTTGAAAATTTGTAGAATTTATACATAGTTCATTTTTCAGCCACCAGCCGCGCTGCCGTCGGTAAGTAGTATCTGTGAAGTTAGCTGTTTATGAGTACAAGTAGATGAAGTTAGTTGAATATTGTACAAATTCACTTCGCGACATTGGTCATTTCAAATTAGCCCGCTTTTATTGACACAACTTAGCGATCGCAGCGCCTCACTTATTTTGTCCATTTCTGGGTCCAAAGTTTGATGAACACAAGTTTTATGATTATACAAGAATGCCAAAAGAAACATATTACTACATGTTAAATAAAATCGAACATCGTTTAATTAAGAGCTGGTGTAACTGGGATGTTCAACCCATTTCACCCGAAGAAAGACTACTAGTCAGTTTTTTACTTTTTATAGGGTTGTATTAGTCGGGGGTTTTTTTAAATTTTTTATATGTAGCTTTTCAAACTTTATCAACATTTCAACTTATCACCTCTTATTAGAAAACGCGGTTTAAAAATAGTACCGGGTTTAGTACTAGGATTAAAATAGTAAAATATTGAAAAATACAAGTCTAACGCTAATTCACGAAAGATCTATGGTACTAAAGTTAGTCCTAAAATTCTTTGGAACCCCCTGACGGTAGGTGTTAGACTCAAAAAGTCGTTAATCAGTTTTTAGAAATTTAGTTATTACCGTACTAATTTTAATCCTCGTTATCCACATCCATTTTCATATACAAACACACTCTTCACCGGTAAACGTTTGAACCTGTATGGCTCGGTCCAGGTTGTCGGCACGAATAATTTTAAACCTGTTTCTTTATAAGTGGGCGCATAAGTAAACATATAAATATTATACCTGCACTGGTCGATATCCGACCCGCACAGATTTGTCTGTACCGGAAACCTACAATAATAATATATTTAAAAAAAACGTGAAAAAGATTATCTTAATGAGGAATGATGAATAGATGTATAAATCTACTTCAAATCTGCGTAAAAAAAATCCGATAAAGATAATTTTATTTTTAGCTAGGGACCGTCAAAATTTAAAATGCTAGGTGGGCCGACAGATATGCCCAGAAGTATAGAAGGTGTCTGCTGCTAATAACCAAATGCAGCACTGAAGCCACTAACCGATTATAGTAACTTATATTATTGAAGCCACGCAGTTAGGTGTTCAATTAATCTAGGTAAGTCTAGTAAAACATATAACGCGTATCGTATGGCATCCCAGCGTTAGGTATACTAAACTTTAAGTCACAAGAAAAATTATATTCCCAGTGCGATTCCAGTAATAAGGAATGTAAGAAGAAGAGACCACCCATATAATATAATATTTACTCATTATATCTCACCCCTTTTAACTCTTGAGTCCTCCTCTGATATATGTCACAGTTACAAATATTTATGTATCTTGATGAATGATATCTTGAATATCTTGAATCAAAATCTTGACTTATGAAAAAGCTGGTAAAGCAAAATATTTTTTGCTTTGCAAATATAAGAGATACTCGGAAGCTGTATTTAAAAATACTCGTGAGAAAAGAAAAGGACTTTTAGATACCTACTTCGGATCAGCAGACAAAACTAGACTAGGTAGACATTTGATATAATCAATTTGTCCAGACAATCTAGACTCATATTGTCTTCATCATTCGCTTAAGGACCTTTAGCATCAATAAGCGTAAAGAAAGAAAACGAAACATATTATATACACATTTATTACAATTGCATACAACAAGTACACAAAGTATAAACAAGTCCATATATTATTTTACACATATATACACATAGAAGCTCTTACGCGTGAACAAAGGATGACAATGGGAATGTATAACAAATCAGGTGAGTTTGTGCTCATTCAAAATGAATTTCACCACACTTGTCACTATTTGGCAAGTAATTTCTTCTAGACTGAACTCCAATTAAACTAAACAATGGACGAGTCAGGTCTGCTAGCTAGAATATTAACTAAAAATATTAAGTTACATTCAGTTTATACAGTATATTATAAATAAGTAAAAAAAAATCTAAGATATATAATTTTTTATTGTATTCCATATTTTTAAAACTCCATAACAGGAACAAAATCAATACATTTAAACACGATTCACAGTAACAAATTAAAGTTATAATTCTTTGAAAATAAATTGCAAACATTTTCTTTAAAACCAGAAATTGTGTACTGACTCGTTAAATATCTAACGGTCAAATACTCAGCGTTGTATTTCACTAATATAAAAACCTTAATATATATTTTCATTAAAATGTAGCACATGAAATTTGAATATTAAACCATAAGCTATCCGAATTTATTATAATAATATACTTCAACATACTGTCAATATTCAGCTCCCGTTCACGCGCTGAGCCGTACTAAATGCCACGTTAACAAAAACTACAAATCTCGATACTGAAGGCGCCTATCTCAGAAAAATGCATTTCTACGAGCACCCTATTCTATCACAAACATTCCAATAGCTTATTATAATATCAGTCGAACGAGTGACTAATTGAAATACAGTATCTAAATAATCATATTTCACTTTGTGAAATAATATAGATACCTATACTCAAAAATGCAATGAAAAGTCAATATTTTTATGTAATTAAAAAAGTTACATACTTCGTGAGATATTGTCTCGGTTATAATATTTTAATAAGTAACAATTACTTAAGCACATTCTGTATATATTAATTCTATATTTACGAGTTTCATACAGAATGATGTGTAAACAGCTGAACAATTGAAGCTGGTTGAGATAACACTTATGCATGGAATCTAGTCAATCTTTCAATCTACATAAATAATTAACATGTGATGTAAATTTTTGTTATTATACCTATTAAATAATAAAGATTTTAAACACGTAGTTTGGTAACAATTAATAACTCCTAATTAACATCAAGATTGGCTTCCAATACTGACAAATTTATCGTGATAATTTTCAGAAATCATACAACACTTCGAATTTATTTATGATATTTTTTATAATAACATCAATGAATAGGGCATAGAAATATAAATTTTATCGTTAAACTATTCAATATTATAATACATCACTGATTGCTATTATTTTAAGCGTGTGAAGTGTTAACTACAGTAACATACAGCTAGTTTCGTTTCTTCGAATGTTACCTGCCACCGTTACAAATGGACCATACGTTAATGCTAAGCATTTTTAATTAAACTACGTTTTACTCAATATACAAGTGTATGTGAACGTATTTACAATGTGACTTATCATACATAAGATGGCGGCGATGGCGGACGCGTTCAAAATGGCCGCCCATTCTGCGGTCTCTCGGGTAGCTTCGGTGGTACATTTGGAACTGGCCGGCTATAAACATGAAAACAGTTTATTATTAAGCTGATCAAATAAACACACCAATGCTAAATATACAGTGAAATTCTAAATCCATTTGTAGATGATAACCGTAAATAAAGATCAAATAATAATAATTATACCTAAAATGGCAGTAAAATATAAGCGTGAATTTGAAGAAAAGCACTATCTAATATATGATTACAATATACTTATGGGTGTTCAATACATAAAATAAACATGCCATTGTAATTATTTTAGTCAACGTTATAAACCCATTGTTTTCTGTAGTTACGCATATCCTCTAATATATCTTATTAAGCAATATTTTTTATTCGCCAAAGGCATGCAACATTCCCTATAAGTACACATATTATGTTTCGTTTTATTCAATAATCCAATAAGAACAAAAATGTTCCCGTAATACTTTGAAACACACAATTATATCTCTATTAAAAATAAATGAAGTTTGCATTTTGTATTCTTATTGAAATATTTCACTACTAAATATCAATCTGAGCTTACCTAATATAAATATCCTTTAGGGACAATAGGGGTTATCCAGAGTTACAGTTAGTATAAAGCCAACGATTGAACTAGCGACTACTGGAATAAATCAAACTTCTTTGTTACACATATAGCATTTAATTACTCTATTTATACAGCATAAGATTAACAATATTAATAAACTATATCAAATCCAACAATCACTGCCTATACCTTTTTCGATGGTACTAACGCTATTAACAAGATAAGAGAGCGCGAGAACGTTAGATGAATTTGATTACTGTTGTATATTATTTAGCTAATATCAATAGAGCAATGAGAGCGCTACAGCGTTAACCTCATGTAAGTAGGAACTCGGTACTCTGATGCCTTCGCACGTCTAGCGACTTTTGTATTGGTACATGTTAATCTGTGTTCGAACACAGCGGCATCAGTAACGAATCGTTTAAAAATAAACCCTTTTTAATACTGGGATACATGATTTAAATATACATTCAGAACTAAATCGATCATGGAATGTCTGTTTCTAGTCTAAACGTGATGAACGACGATGATAATATTTTTGAAGATTAAAATGTCACTATTATTCAATAACGAACGAATACGTACGTATCGTTACACCATTAATAAAACATTCTAATAATTGACCAAATATATTGCTAACAGCAACAATACAAAGGGCAACTGCTTTGGTCTCAGCCATTATAAGTACAATAAATTTAAATTTTCATATAAACTTCCATCGACGCAGCATACCTATTTTGTAATTTCTCAACCAGTTTAATATAATACCAGTTTACACCGATACTCTTGTAAATATAGTAGTATATAACAAACAAGCTTGGGGTATATGTAACGAGTAAATGCATTAAAGGCGCATCGAGCGTTTGTCACACTGGCGGAGAGTGGAGGGGGAAGTAGAGGGATTGTCTCTGATCGCGCCGCGGCCCTAAGCTACTGTAATACCTACACATCGACGTGAGAACAACTGGCACTACGCAGCTAACCCTACGCAACGAGTGTGTCGAGTGCGCAAACATCAACAAATAAACACTGTCCTCGTATTAGTACAACTAGCACATTTACAAATTATCATGATATGCTCGTTTGGATCCCGACGCTCGTTCGCTCGCTCGCACAGGAGTCCGTACCGCTCTCAGACCAGAACGGACTCGGCCAATTAATCAAAATGTACACCTATCTTAAGCCACTGAATGTAACATTTACAATTTATTACATAAACTAAATTCAAATTGTAATTTCTAAAAATCACCATTGCTGTTACAATGTTACAATTATAATAATCCGCATAAATAAATGCAGATCACAAAACAATGTCATCATTTACAGTAATAAAGTCTAATTTAATTATCTTTAATACTTCCAACTTTTTTGTGTAATTAAAGTTACATTGAATATTTTGTATTATACGAATTAAACATATTTGTGAATAAAATTATCAACATTTACTTACACAATGTGTGTGACCTTCAAAACAGTATTGTGGCTCCGCGTTAATTTGAGCATATTATGTATTGCTGGTATTTGTTTTTGAGCAACTAGTTAACATAATATGTATGTGCATAATACATTGAATTATCGTGTACAATTTAAAATTATTAAAAATACAATTACACTACGGTAACAACTGTTATGTATCACAAGCGTTGTTCATAATTTATTTGCGAAAGAACATGTTAAACAGGCACAATATAGGTTAGGTTTGGTTAAAGTTTGAAAATCTGATCATTACTCGTGACATTCAAATTAAATTTCATATAATATTATTTACATGATCAAATTTTCAATAAGTACTAAATTGCAAATCACTTTTAGTATTTAAAAGATGGTCCTTTAGTCGCTTCGTTAAAATTATTCAAGTATTATATAGAATAGGTTACACAAATAAAAAACAGTTCCTTGGTTAACGCACACATTAAAGCCACACAACGATGCGACAGTAAACAACAAGTGATGTATTGTTATAAAAATAATTTATTTACTCTGAAGATGTAAATAATACTAAGTTGCACCATCATACTGTACAGCTTCCCAAATAATAAATGTCTGCTTCATTTAAGGCCAGCACTTCACTTGGCTATTTGTGCTTGCTATTTGTAAACTTGAGATCAATCTGTCCTTTTCATTCCTTATAAAGCATGTTAAGGACAGAATGTTGTTAAGTTTACAAATAGCAAATACGAATAGCCAAGCAAAGTGCCAGTATAAAAAAGGTAAAAAATAGGAACGGAAAAAAGGTCGAATATCTAACTCTCTCTGTTACAAACTCTGTAACGAACTTCTACATAACGTCATCTCATGTGTTCTGTCTCTCAAATATTATGCAACTCATTGATATAGTTGTTTGGTAAATTCTCAACAACAACTCTGTGCAAATTACTATAAAACATGATTGCAATACGGTTAAACATCAATCGGTATAATATTCCCAACATTTAGGGTGTAAGCCGCGTACATAATCGACCAGATTCAAAGATCAAACTCCAGTAATGCATACACTTTACATGGCTATTGGTATTTTATATACATAAACTTGACAACAGTCTGTCCTTTTCAATCTCTATAGAGTATGATAAGGATAACCTGTTGTCAAAATGACAAATAGCAAATACGAAAAGCCATGTGAAGAACCGGCATAAGAGAAAGGTGATAAGAGCATTGATGCCTAGAAATTTTTATAATTTAGATTATAATAATAACTGTTGCTAAGTAACGGAACAAGAATATCCTTACCTGGAGATTGATAATTGAAACTGCGCACAAACACTGGCAGAGTGACAAATATTCAGCGTTAAACGGCGTACACACAACAACACAACACATTCGACATTGGGCGTGTTGACGACAAGTCTCACGCGCGTGAGTGTGTGAGTTCGGTTAGTCCTTTACTTGAATCTGGCGAAGGCGGAGCTGAGCTCGTTGATGGCAGCGTTAGTGACCGCCTGGCCGACCGCCTGGTTCACCTGCGCGCGCATATGGGGCGACATCTGGTTCATGGCGCCCGCCATGGCACCGCTCGCGTTCCCGCCACCGGGCCTCCTAATATCCCACAACAATTAGACACCTATGCCCTTATGCTTTGGTATCGAAAGGTGATTTTGAGGATGTCCTTTCTTTCATTGTAAACATACAAAACCTCTAAATCATTCCTTATTATCAAGTGAATTATTTTGATAAATTTGAGTAAACAAAAACATTCCAGTGAGTTTATAAGGTGGTTATATCAAAAGATGTACTCCGCGCATAAGATCATTGGTGTAAAGGAGTAAACACAGTATACGTATATTTTAAAACACAGATTGGTCTAAACAATTTGTCAATCACAATAGAGCTCTCACAGCTCCTCTGTAAGTCATTTTTTGAGCAATGTAACGGCCATAAATATATATATTTATTAAGAAATAGTAATAGAACATTGGAAATATAGTATAATAGATTCTTACAGGGCAACTGTGAATCTACAAAGATCAAAGTTGACAAATATAACTTTGCACATAACAGTTAGTTATCAGTATCAGAAATAAATTACCCAAGCATAGAAAGTGGCGAATTGGAAAACGATAATAAGTTTAACAATTTATTGTCCTACTTTCAGTCATCAATAGAAACTTTCCTAAGAAAAAGCGTGTCACACAAAAACCTGAAAAAGGAAAGTCTTGAAGACCACACACTAGTGTTAACATGCAGTGCTGTCAATTCACTACAAATCGTGATTCACACCGACTACATTATTTAAGTTTAGTTACAAACAGGTCACGAAAAAAGTAAAGATTAACTTTTTTCGAAGAAGCTATTTAACAAGAGCCAACTGTTGCTAAGCATTGAAACGGTTCGTTTGCCTCCATTCAATAATGACAATATTCATCACTCACTAATATCAACTCCCCTTGTTCTTAAAGATTTGTTTTTATATAGAATTATTATATATTATTGGATAAAGAACTATTGGACTTATTTTTCAAAAAGTTTCTCACTGTAGGCAGCCTGTTAAGATTTCGATGAATGCACAACCTTTCACCTCTTCCAAAAATATATTTTATATTTATATATTGCATAGTAGAAGCTTCGAAAATAAAAATATAAACTGAAGAAAAATATTTTTTTAAATACTTATTTTGACAACTGTATATTCCTACATTGACTGCCTACATGAGAACCAATAAGCAATGAACATCATTTATATCTAAGAGTAGGTACATCATAAAATTCTCTATTAATTTAATAATTTTTGGAAGCAATATTTGTTATCAGACGTATCATAAGTATTTATCTTTTACATTACTAATATATTGTATATAACATATGTATAATTTTTATATAATAAGTCTCACGACACAGTTGTTAACTTACTACAAGACATTGACTTATCCAAGTTCTAAAATAAAATAGGCTCGTAATTTAAAAATCATTTTTATAGATCAAATAAATATGCGATAACTGTATAAAATACAAGTGCTTCTAAAGGTTTATTCGAGAAAAAAGCTATTGTACTAAGTTAACAAGCTCATCAGAGTTAGTACCTTATGTTCATATATAACTTATGTTAGTTAGATGGCTCGCACTGAAGCCGCTTAGCGCCGCCTGTGAAAACAACCACACACTCAGCTCGTGCACTTTTTAATGCTAACCACAGAAGGACAGTATGATACCAATGATATGGAAACAGGACCAACTAATAGAAACATACATTTTGTCACCTTTTACTGGTAGATAACGATTTAACTATCACTTTTAAGATTGCTCATTCGGTTAGTTTCTTCTAGAAAAAGATGGAGTATGTAATTGATAAATGGTCAAGAGTTAATAGTTAATTACTAAACCTTATTACTTTAATAGTTAAGATAAAATTAACCGCAACCCTGAATAAAAACAGAATAACAAATTTAAATATATTATAAAAGCATATTATGGCTGTTACATCACCCACACAAATGCCTTTGCGAAGCTCACACGTCAAAAACATATTTTATTAGTATTATATTTTAAGTCATATGATTCAATAAGTCATGTTATCAACATGTACGGGTCGAATCTAGTAGATTTGTGAATCACAAATAACTAATCAGAAACAAATTACCAGCACTGATATTTTTTTCTATGAAAAAGAAAACGGATAATGACAGAAAGCAAAAAGAAGATAAGATTCGACCCTAATGTCAATACACAAGCAAAATATTATACGGACGAATATTAAACGGACATACTAATACCAATATTTCTGGAAGAAGACGTGAACGGATAAGTATTTAGCATAAATAGGCATACGCTATATAAGCCTCGACGATAACGGTCCGTGTACATATTACTTAAACAAATATTTGTCGCACATTGTGCGTGATCGAGCAGTAAAGCAACTGCAAGCAAACTCCTGAAACGTCACACAGTAGCACGCATGCGGTTTGTTGTAAGACTTTACTTTGCTGTGAGATGCCCTACATTACTATTTTGGAATATGAAATATTCGTTTCATAGTGATGAAATGTTAAACGATATAAATAAGGGGCGCTGATCGATTGTAGAAGCAGCTTGTGGTAAGCTGCTTCTACAATCTGCTTGTTTACTCTTCTTCAGACCATCTCCATAATCTTACAGCCAGTTTTAATAATAAATTATCGGAAAGATATACGCCTTTAGAGACTAACTTCAGGTCTGCCATGATATATTAGCTGAACTGTTTAATAGGCTTTTTGACAAGTATAAAACACGTTCATACGTTCTTTATAAGTTTATAGTGCCTCCATAAAAAGTGGATATTTATAATTCTGTTGCAGCCAACAGTAAAAAAAAAGCAGTTTTTAAATATGCCGCGAAAACGTTTCCCTAACCAATATGGCATCTTACAGGTAAATGACGTCACGCGGCTGTCATTGAAACGTCAAACAGTACAAAGTAATGTCACTTCGACTACACGTTTACAAGCAGGAAACGTCCTTTTAAGTCACGTGACAGTAAATCAAAAATACTTTTCTATTTCATGTCAGAATAGTGAAATCGCTCCCAATATTAATGTTAAATAAACATGGCAATTATTGGTACTTTATTTTTTAAACTGTAAAATAGCCTTTTCTTTTGTGATAAGGCTATACGTAATGCCGGCACTTTACTTGGCTATTCGTGTTTGCTATTTGTAAATTTCAGATCGGACGTCTGTCGTCTGTCCTTATCATGCTCTACAAGGAATGAAAAGGACAGACTGATGTCATGTTTAATAATATCAAACACGGATAGCCAAGTAAAGTGCCGGCCTAACTAGACAGAGTTTGTTTGTGGCAGCGACATCTACACGCCCCATGTATAACAAATGGAGGATGAAATCACTTGCCTTGTCGCTATTGGTGTAACACAAACATTTATTCGTTAATTGATATTATAATGGTTCAAGGGGTGTTCAGCGTGTAGTATAAGGTGTGTGGTGGTGTGTAGTATGTAGTGAAGCGTGGTAAGGGTGTTGAGCGTGTAGTAAGACGGGTATTAAGTATGTAGTGTGTTGGTGTATTTAGTGCTTTTGCAGGGAAGTGGTTGGGTTAAAGTAGAATCTAGTGTGTATGTGTAATATGGTACGTCAGTGGTTATGAAAGGCGCAGGAGGGGGACCGTCTCACCCCGCTGTCCCGTTGAGGAGAGGTGGGGGGGGGGGGTATTGAATTCTAGTCATTGTGTATTTGCCAAGATGTTTGCCACTTTCGATAATGTTCGCCCGGGAGGTTTAAGCTGAACTTTGTATTTGTGTCAGTGCACGTACATAATTATTTTGAGAAAAGTGTGATGTCGCGCACCATTCACACTACACCTCTTGTACTGGTAGCAGCATGACGTGTAAATTTCTTATCTTGTTTTTTTGTTCGTGTTATTTGTGAAATGGCTGCCAACACAAATAAACGAAGAATACGAAAAACTTTAAATAACCAAGTAAAAGAATTTTTGAGTAATTTAAAATAGCAATTTTAATGACATGAACGATTAAGACACGTCAAGTGTCACTAGCACTATATCAGCCCAATTGGTAGCGATATCGACGGGAATTCTGAAAGTGAATTTTCTTTATTGTTTCCTGATTTCTCAGACAGATTTACATACATACTTATCAGTCATACATATAAAAGCTGGCCTTTATTTTGTCAAATTATATATTACCTACTTATTAAGTTTTATTTTATGTTTAAACTAGAACGTCTCTCCCACCTTTGTTATAAACCTAACTGAAACATAATTTATTACTAAAAAAAATGTCTGACTCTACTTTTGGTGATCACTCACACAAAATGCAAAGCTCATCTTAGGCCTCGCGGAGTATGAGTAGGTATGAGCACAGTATACCCAGAACAGTAATACGTCTTCATACAAACTGGCCGCTGCCCATTAGAAAGTGTGTACCTGCGTACTCAGCGCCGTGTAGGCACGCACTGTGACGCACACATTCGACATAAAATACTGGTGCATAAGGCAGTCTGGGCCGTGCGTTCGGTGTTATCGTGCGTTCGGTGTTATCGTGCGTGTACAACATGATAGCACGTTCGCTCGATGCTCGTTCCCGCCCGGCGCATTCGCGCTCGCAGCCGCCGCTTTAAGGTAGGAACAAAATGAGGCCACGTATGCAACGCAACGTGGGAGAGATGGTGTGCACACTTAGCCCACGTATACGATGTATATTGACATCAGACGCTGTTGTAATATCTTCAGGTGCACAATGTTTTCTAAGTCTGACAGTGAATTCGAGGACGATTTAATACATTTGTTATTTTTAAATGTATATTTCTGAGCCAAGAAAAAAAAAGAGTTAAGAGAAGATATTGGGTTCATGAGATAAATAAAGAAAGAGAAAATGTTGGTGAATACCATACATTATTAAAGAAATTGGTATGTGATAAAGAGCGATTCTTTATGTACTTCCGCATGTCTAAAGTACAGTTTGAGGAGATTCATAGCATTATTGATTGCTTCATGTCACCTAACCAAATCTATGAGTTGTTCGTCTCCCATTTTTATCAAAGGTAAATACAAGAGGAGCTCGATGGCGCAAATGGTTAGCGCGTTCGGCTGCGATCGTTGAACTTAAGCAACTTTCGCAGCGGTCGGTCATTGGATGGGTGACCAAAAATTACTATCTCGAGCTCCTCCGTGCTTCGGCCGCGCTGTCTTACAATGTCCTGCCCATACTTCCCTATAAGCTTTTTGAAAAAGTTGTATATAAGAATAAGAATTTATTTTACTTTGTCTGTTAACAATAAACCGTTCCGAATAAGCTGAAACCGAAGTTTTTTTTTTCAAATTTATAAATTTTTAATAAATGCCCCATGTACATATATAAAAATTAATAAGACTTTTATTTATACCTCATTTCATTGACTAGTAAAAAAAAATATTATTATAATATAATAAACATTGGTATATTTTAAAATATAGTGATGCATATTATACACATATATTATATAAATACACAAATATTTAACAAAAAAAATAAAGTGGCAACCGAAGCGTCAACTCAAGAGTAGGCTAATAACTCGCCGCCAGGCCGCAGATAAACCACTGTTCTGGGTATACTGTGGTATGAGCGGGGTAGGCGGCAGCCGGTGCGAGGCGGGCGCCACCGGATCGCGACAGCGGTGTGGCGCACCATACTGACTCAGTGAGGACAGGGAGGGATGATATGTGGTGAAGTTTAATAGTAGTGGTATACGTACGTGGGTATAAGGGGGGCGGGCAGACCGGCGCCGGGCGCGGGGCGAGCGGCGGGAGGCGGGGGCGCGGCGCCGCCGGGTCGTGACGGCAGTGGCGGCGCCGGCCGACCAGTGCCCGCCGGTGGGGGCGGCGCACCACGCTGACCCAGGGAACCTGCAGGCAAAGTTATCATCAGCAGTCTTGTAAAAGGAACACTAACCTTTCCTCATAATTTTAATTTTTCTAAGCATGTCAGCGCTCCTGCGCGTCGCCCGCCCTAAACCACGGACCGCCGAAGCGCAGGTCACTCGCCCGACACCATTAACATTCAAACCCAGTTTTCTTTTTATTTTGTTAATCAGTTTACATCTATTGCGTACAAATTCACTAGCGAAAAACTCAGTTATTTGAAAAAAAAATAATAATAAGCATGTCAGCGCCATCTCTTCGTATCATAGGTAACCTACAAAGGCGCTGCCTTGCAGCTTAAGTAAGGCTAAAAAAATTTGACACGGCCATCAGGGCCGCGGTAGCACTAACCTTTCCTATTTTTATTTATGTTAAAAGGGTGGCAAAGCTCACGGCCCGCCTGATGGCTCAATTACACTTGTTCGACGAATGAAATTTGGATAAACGACTGAGTAAATGAAATGAATCGAGTACGCCCGTATTCGAGTAGTTTTCGTTATGGTTACCCGACATTGTATTTCAGTGTAAATGTTACTTATGGTGCCTAAATTCGAGTAATGTCTTTCGTGTACCCGAATACGTGCTAACGACCAAGTGTAATCAAGCCATGATGGTAAGCTGCCACTATAGCCTATACGCTTGCGATACGAAAAATACCACTCGCACCGTTGCCTACCCTGACCCCATCCCCTACCTCATGGAGCCAACACCACTAAAAGATAGTGTTATTTTACTGTAGTCTTCTGTAAGGTGAAGGTTATTTCTACGAAGGGCACTCCAATTTGAACGGCAAATCAGCACTGTAGATGCGAGTCGAGGCCCACCACGCCCACCCAATGATTTTGGCGGGTGGCGACACGAGCGTCGCCATGACAACGTGGCCGGCCGTATTATATATCATTGTATATACCTTGCTGCGCGGGCACGGCTAAACGAACGCTGGCCGGTGGGTGAGGTCGGCGACAGGCGCCGCCGGTTGGAGTCGAGCGGGCGGCGGCACGGGCGTGCTCACCGTCGCAGTGGCAACGTGGCCGGCGTTCTTAACTATCTATGTTTATACCTCGCTGCACGGGCGTGCTCACCGTCGCCGTGGCAACGTGGCCGGCGTTCTTAACTATCTATGTATATACCTCGCTGCACGGGCGCGGTTCGACGCGGGCCGTCGAGCAAGGACGGCGACAGGTGCGGGTTGGAGTTGAGCCGACTCTCCAGCCAGTCGTTCTTGACTGGCGGCGGCACGAGCGTGCTCACCGTCGCCATGGCAACGTGGCCTTGTTATATATCAATGTATGTAATATACCTTGCTGCGCGGGCGCGGCTCGACGCGGGCCACCGGGCGAGGGCGGCGACAGGCGCGGGTTGGAGTCGAGCCGGCTCTCCAACCAGTCGTTCTTGACGGGTGGCGGCACAGGCGTGCTCACCGTCGCCATGGAAACGTCGCCGATTATGTGCAAAGCCTCCTTGCACGCGTGATACATGCGCAGCATCTCTTCGCGCTTCTGCGCCTCTTCGGGCGACTCCTCCATCATTTGCGACTGAAAAACAAAATGTGTTTATACAAAACGAACCGCTCGTCACCATATTTAGAGTAGGATATAAATTAGTTGCAACCAGTCTCTGATGAATAGGACGGTTGCTATACCAAACTATCACTTACACCGTTGTCTAAATTACTAAAATCAAAAAAATCATTATCTTGATTTCAATATTATTGACATGTTCGTACGGCATTACTTCACTACATCACTAATTCTACCCTCCCCTACGAATCACTATCATTTTTTTTCATGACAGAAAAAGGCATGATGCCTCTCTCCCACCGGGAGTAGCAAGACGAGGGTATCTGTGGACCCCTTCCTATTAATTTCACCCAACACAAACAAGGCCTCGATGGAATGAGCAGGACCTTATCTAGTAAAAACCTGACAATTCTCCTGCAATGATCACTCGGCACGCATTCTAGGATCCTTAAGTGCGTGTCGAAACCGCGGGAACGAAGTAATCATTATCCTAGATTTTAAAGAAATAATTACCTGATCACCAGAAGCGTACAAATGGGCGAGCAGCTCTCCATTGATGAAATCTTTGGCGTTGTTGATGATCAGCATCATGATGGTCTTGGGGACTAGGTCGCGAGTCGTCTTGGTCACTATACGCATGTACGAGTCAACCAGGTTACGAATGGTCTCCACCTGCCGCTCTAGTTGTGGATCCATGCTACTTGTGCCCGCGCTGTCAGAACTCTGAAATAAAAAAGGTTAGAAAAATCCTTACTTTTTTGTTTTTAGTAAAGAAAATAGCTACCATGTGATCATCGTGTTATCGAGATGAACGCATATTGGAACTAAATAATGATAGCAAGCCAAAAGATTGAAGTCCACACTGCATTGGAAATCTGCAGACTACAGATAATCCACACAGTTTTGCAACTGATTTTAAAACTCAATCCATGTTGAAATATGCTATTTCTGATAACTTTATATAGATTCATATCTCATAAATAAATGTAGCTTCATCATAAACACAAATGAAATACAATATCGAATAAAACTAAAACTACAATATCTCTGATTTTAATGAAAATTATAAACGAAATAATATAACAATAACTAGCCAATAGCGTCGTTCTAAGCATAGTAAGAAGTAATGCTTCAAGTAATGAAACTTCGTAAATACAAAATTATTGAAAATAATTAAGATTATATATTTTTGAAAATAAAAAATATATTGTCATGAAAACCTATTATATTTTCTATATTATGTGTAGCGTTCTCTAGTGTGAATGGTTTCATGTCGATAAGTGAGAACTCAACATAGTTAACTTCATCTATGTATCAAAATAAAACATGAAAATTCTTTCCCATTATCGACAACCATCTTCCATTTTCAAATATACAATCCCGACTGAAATTGCAAAAAAAAACGCACCATCTTTTTTATATCGTTTAAAAAGTTTGTCTCAAAAATATTCTTTAACTTGATAGAAGAAATAAAACTAAGAGCACAGTCTAGGTGCTTTGAATAGTGGCAAACATAAAGACAGGCTACAATTTAAGTCACCTAAGTGCGATGCTCGCAGTGGCCATCTGTAATAGTATGTTACACTATGCGTTATTATTAACCATAGTTTAGTTGAGAGAGAGTACCTTGATTCGGAAGACTCTTAAGGTAACGTTACGTAGACGTAATGCGAGAATAGCCTTTATATTATTGATGTGCCATATTTTTTGTGTCAAATACAAACTAAAGCCAACGATACTATCAGGAATATTAATTTTAGACCTCATATACACCCAGTAAAAGAGAATAAAGGCACATTTACAGCAATGTTAGGTAGAATTTTGTTTTAAATAATATCCACAAGATATTTTATGACTTAAGTTTTTAATAACTATAAAACAAAGGAGATTGCTCAGCTTCCATACATGTTTGGCCTAAAAACCAATAACCATGAAAAATTGTTTCCTACATTCGAAATTATATATAAATTACCGTAGAAACGAATATTATCGACGGCCACTCCTGAGAACTTCTATAAACCATATACACTGAATGATTTTGAGGTTATGTTTGCAAATAGGCACACAGGTATTAGAATAATAAAAACCAAATAACTTATATAGGAAAATAGGGCAATCAAGCCAAGTACCGATATTATGTATTAGATTCAGGTATATAGAGCATGTAAAATAACAGATATGTGCATGTTTTTAAAAACACGAACAGAAACTGTGTGATGATTGTGAATGAGCCACAGATTAGAGAGAATTTTTAAACTCTCGTTAATCAAAGAAAGCTAAGAGCTGTAGGTTATACAGCCATATCTTCAGCAGCTTCATTATTTTTGTTATGTTTTTATTATAACCATATTTTAGATTTTTAGTGTATCACACCTTATAATGTGTTTATTTAGGTGTTTGGCAAAAAATGTACGGCAATAGACTTTATGAGGTCGCCTACCATCTATATTAATTGTCTTAGCACATTTGCATGTAGTAAAAATGATAATAAAGTTGTGCATATTAATACCACCCGTGTAATAAAAAAAATATATATTTTATCAATCTTTACAAAATAGATTTGTTTTGATGTTATATAAACAACCTCGATCAGTCTTTGTGAATGTTACTACACCCATAGCCAATAAAAATGATTCGTATGTTTTCCAAACCGGTAAAAATAGAAGTCCTTTTTTAAAATTAATATATTATTTAAAGGTGGCCGTTAAAATCTAATGACTGTAAAATTAAGTATAAATTACGCCAAGAATTACTGTATATGTCAATATTTTATTTGCATTTAGGCCAATTTGACCAATCTCCTTTTGTGAGATAATTTACTTATACGTCCTTAGGAGTAGGTATTCTGTTTGTAATCTAATGGAGGTCCATTAGTAATGAAAAATGTCAGGGAATAAACAGTGTTTATTTATGCAGATCCTGTGAAATCTCATGGCAATGTTTTAAGTACGTTAGTTGAGTAACCGGCGAATTATATTTTAATTGATAAAAACCCAATAAACACTAGCATTCCACATGCTGTTCATTCTAAAACTTCCAATAGTAAAAAATGCTTTTAATTGAAATACATAAAGCAAGCAATCACTCTGCAAATAATACTTAACACATTCATAACTCCGAGTCTCTTTCGGAATATCTCATAGTTTGTATGGCAATGTAAAAAGCAAGGAAGCTATTGCTGGCAAGCCGTGAATTAATCATTTGGCAAAAATGAGAATGCGACATATTGCCTGAAGAAGGTGAAAGGTGTGTTCATTCATTCATGTTCATTTTTCATGTTGCAGATCATTTTTCTTTTTGTTTGGGCAAAATATACAAATAATAATTTATCCGAGAATCGAAGAATCAGTTCATATTAATTTGTACTTTTAAAATGGAGGATATAGGCAGTGCTGTAAAATTTTCTATAATGGTTTTAACGTATCATCACTCGTATAACCATGTTATTTTTCGTTAGTACAAAATTCAAACTACTAATTTAAATTTTAAGCCTCATAGCTGGTTTATTGTAATTCTGCAAGTCTGCCCTGCTGTATTAATTTTGCATTTGGGTGAACCATGCGCCATCTTACAAATAAAAACAATACTCGCTTATTACTTACCAACTCCCAAGCCTATACGTTATAAAAAAACATGCTGTCGTAACCGTCGGTATCCAAATAAACCCAAAATATGAACTAATTTTTTGCATGTATCTAAAATAAATGACATGCATTTCTACGTAGGTCGATATCACGCCGAATACAAAACAACCTTTAGAACAATTTTCCATACCCAAAAGTCAGCAAAAACAAAGCTTGAAGGTACGAGTGACTTACTCCTTTTTTATTGCCACCCAACCCCAGGACAGGCAGTAATAACTAAAAATAAAAACAAACATGCTACAACAAAACTGAAAAATACATTGGAAAGAAAAAGAGATAGAATTTCCACGGTAAAATTAAAGCTCAGTGAAAACATCAAGTAATTGCCTATTTCCATCTGTTACTTACATCGCGTTACATTTGTTAAGTCTAATGTATGAATGGAACATTTACGGCAATACTCAGGGCGTCAATTTGTAATGCCTGTCGAAGTTACGTTTAGTCTTATTCTTTTGCTCTCGTAAAGAAAACGAAAGCATCAACTTCACCAAAAAAACGACGTCCCAAGTGCGACCGAAAGGATAGCTTACATTATTTAGAATAAAGCGATTATCACACCAAACCAGTGCAGAAAACAATAAAAACTAATGTGTAATATGATATACCTACAAGGCGCATGCTACTTTTCAAATGCATTTCAAGAAAATTTACATTAATTATGGGATGAATAATAATAGTAATATAATAATATTTATATAATTTCATAAAGTAATATAAAAAAAATAAAGAGGGGCAGCCCTTGCATTCTTGAAATTCACTGTTATAACAAACATCGATATTGAAAACCAACAAGACAGTGGTAGTGTTTGTGTATTTAACATGTTGTTTGTTAAATAGGATTTATTTAGACAAACCTCTGATCCATCACTCTGAATAGCATGGCAAAACAACAGATTGTATGACAACACTGACATAATTACATGTATCATTAAGTATAATGGCAATAATAACAAATCAGAAATATATTTCAAATACACGTATTATAAATAATATAATTATATACCAAAATCAATATTTGCTTAAATAAGCTTGTAAAATTATTAAAAAAATATTAAGGATAGTGGTTAAGACGGAAATAATAAAAAAAGGAAGTGACGAGTAGAAAGGTAAAAAAGACAGGCAGTGTAGTTGGTGATATAGTTTCACTAGTACCTCTTCTCCATTCGCTGCCTCAGAAGTCTTCTCCGGGTAAACACCAGCCCGAAGAAAAGAAGCTTTCCAAGAGTCCACATCGTCTTGTGTTTCACACGACAACTCCAGTTGTTTGTAATCCTGTAAAAAACAAACATGACTTTAAAAGTCCGCATAAGATACCTCAAAGTACCCCCCTAAATTAAAAAGCATACTTAGTTGTAATAGTTGAACATCATAACGTGTCAGTGTATGTCCCGTGCATGAATAAACTAGTGATCAGCCGACTCCAGAAAGTACACAATCAAAAGTGCACACAGATCTTAAAAGGAATAAAAACACTTTATTCAATAAACTATAGGCACTGTGCGTGAAGGAGTAAACAAAAAATAGGCTGATAATAGGGTTAGGGTCCATTGTTACTCATCAGAAATTAGTTATTTTTTAAGATTATTATAAACCAGAATTGAATTAGAATAAAGCAGCATTTAGCATTTTAATTACAAATATTTAGTGGTACTGTAGGTGGAGCAGCTTTCTATCTCCCTCGCGCTAGTGACGCTTAGGGCGAATACGTGACGCCTTTGAAATGCCGTCATTTAATTTTTATATCCACTATATTTTCTATCTTTGTAACTTATTGATAAACTTTTTATTTAACATTATAAGCAACGTAACCTCCCATTCTTTATAGGACACATATGATGTTACAAGTTATATACTTGCAAATGTTAAAGGTGTAGTCATAGACAATCTATATAATATATAATTACCTTGTGTATACCCAAACCGTCGAATCCCAAGAACCAATCTGCTTATAGTCAAGTTAGACTTCTCGCAGAAAAAACAGTACAAAAGAAAAATAATTACCTTGTAAACGTTCCTGCCCTCTGGATTGAACAGTGCAAACATGTGGCGGCGCGACATGAACCCTTGTTCGAGGTCGCGCAACTTGAGGCCGTCCAAAGGCAGCATGTATTTCTTCTCGCGCTCCTCCTCGTCTTTGTACCACGAGATGCTTTCCGATGTCAATACGAACCAGTAGTCGCGAGAACCACCTGGATCATAAATAAATACATACATAGATTGGATAATCAACACTTTTAGATTTTATAACCATTAAATGTTCACTGAAATATTTTTAAAATTAATTCATCTAGATATCTCAAGTTTGTTAATACATTGTTCTTAACAAATAATTGTATTAAGTAAATTATTGAAGTAACTTTATTTATATTGTATTACTAGTATAATGTTCAGTGATTTTTTTTTACCTTTCATAATTCCCAAATTGTGTATGCACATGTAGCCTTTCCTAATTACTTGATTGCCGAGAGCTCGGTGGCCGGATTTATTAGCATTTTCCGATTGGTTCTGTGCGCTGAAATAAAAATTAGGTTGTAGCGTCTGCTAAATATATTTTTTACTGTCTGATACTAAAAAAAATATTAATTAACTCAAGCGATTAAATATAAATTGAGCCTAATGCTGCCTTGATCTTGATACTATGAGCCTTTTTTTTGTGTCTAGTAAATGCCTTACGCATCCTTTAACCACTGGGGGAGCAAGAAGAAGGTATAAAAATAAAGAGTATAATACTTAACGTTCTCCATAAAGAATTAAAAAGGGAGACTAATGTCAAATTTCATTTTAAGTTCAGAGAATCATGCCCTGCCAACACTTCACTAGGCTATTCGTGTTTGCTATTTGTAAACTTGACAACAGTCTGTCTTTATCATGCTTTATAAGGAATGCAAGTAAAGTGCCGGAACTAGATTCAGGCCGATTATTATGGTGATGTCTAACTTACTTCGCAAACCCGATGAAGTCTTCATGGTTTGTGTTCATGTACGCCAGCTCACAGTCTATGAGCAGTAACAGTTGGTCTTTGCACTGCTGTTCGCGGGACCGTACGTGGGACATTATTATGCGTTCCGTTTCTTCACGCAGTCGTGGGTACCGAGACATCTGAAGGAAATTATCATATTATAAATACTATGGTTCGCCTATTAGCCGTTGATTGAAATTGACCTAGTACTCCTGTCAGAGAGAATACTTCTATGATCTATAGGTCTTTCAGTCAAAAAATTAATGTGAGTATCTGTGTGAGTGCGTGTGTTGCTTCTCCCACGCCTGCACGACAAAGCTTCGGGTGGCTTTAATACAAAATAGGCTAAACGTTAGCGTCCGAAATTTTTATTAGAAATGTGGTAATGAATTTGCGGGCTCCGTGTCTATATAAGCTAGACGATAACTTGACTGGCGATAATTTGAAAGACTAAAAGAGGTTGTGGAAAACGAAAAAATTGTATGTGTAGCTGAAGGAGCGTCCTTACGATCGCTAATTTCAGCGCATTTTAGTACCAAAGCCACCCGAAGCTTAGTCGCGGAGGTGTAGGATAAGCATAAACGATATGAGTATAGTTATTTATGATATTAGTTCGGTAAGTTGGTTATTACAAAAGAGTAGGCGAATGTAAGCCCGAGACGAAGTCGAGAGCTTACCATAGTCACGAGTTTGTAAATACTAATTTCGCACAAATGTCATACAACTTTTTTCAACACATTTGCGAGAAAACAGTATACCTACCTAATTTAAGTAACGAAGCAAACACTTTCAAAGAAAATAGCATTTCCAAATGGCGCCACGTGAAAATTAGAACTACATCTTTCGTCACTTTTTCTTTTTAGTGGGAAAGTGAGACAAAGGTAAAAATTAAATGCACTTCGAAGGAGGTCCGATCAAAGTTTAAAAAAATACAGTAAAGGATACGCACGGCACCATGTATGGTAAAACGTTTTACCGCACGCTCCGTTGTATGGTCCGTAATTTTGAACTTACGAACAATGTATAAAACCTCCGTAAATGCATTTTTTGAGCAAATGTGTTACAAATATTATTTCTTATGCATTATTATAGTCTATGAGCAGTAACAATTGCTAATTACCCTGCTGCCTGCGAGATCGCAGGTGGGACATCATTACACACACAGATTACAAAATACCATTTAATAATGCAATAAGAGGTCGTTAAGGGTACGTTAAGGTATAAACCCTTGTACAATAGTACTCACTCTTTCAGTGCAGAAACGGACTACATTAGATAACTCTTGAACCACGAGATCGACGCATTTGATACAAGGTTCCTTTAGCCGAGCAATTTGCTTTTTCACTATAGCCTCAAAGGCCATGTCGGGAGTAAACAAACCAACCTGCAATGTAAGACATCAATGATCAATTATGGCAAACAAAGAAACTTGCGCAGTAGATGTTTTGGTATGTAAAATTGCTACTGCGCAGGCTTTTTGTCTATGGTCGTTGTTCAAGAAGTTTGGCGGGGTGTACACCAATAATGAAAACAATTCTTAACATTATGAAATCGGCTATAGTATCGTCACAACTTTCGCTTTAAATATCATTGAATAGTGTTGTTATCGCTCAGAATGGTTAAAGGAAATGACCCCGCTACGTGTCAATATGAGTAAATGAAATGAATATAAACTTTATTTAAGTTCTATCATTAAGTAAAATTATACATACCCTAATACCGTGAATGTTCCTAATAGCGAAGGCGATCTCTCTCCGCAACTCTTTCTCATCAAACTCCATTTTGACAATCTCGAATGGAAACCGTTCGTGAAACAGCCGATTGATTTTAGCACCGCCGGACAATTCGTTGGTGTTGATCTGAGCAGAACCGGATCCCTCAATGGTACGTTCGAAATCCGTTTGCAACTGTTGGATCATTCTGTAAGATTTTTTATAGATAAAGAAGTGAAAATGCTGATCAACTATATATTTTTAGACATAGAAGATATGATATGAAACTTTACACAATAATCATAAATTAAAGAGTATGCAGATTAATTGTGAAAAGTATTAAAAACGTCACATGAGTGTTGTTGCACTCGAATAAGCATAGGAAAAAGCGATACCACTTAAACAAAGGCCTCCTCTCTTCTCCCTCTTACTTCAACGAAATAAAACTATATTTTCCTTTTTTGAGTGTGTATGCTGTTGGTCGCAGATGATCTTTACAGCGTCACCGGGTTTGGACAAAACTCATGTTGCGTTCTTAATACGTTACAACTGATACTGGCTAATATTTTAACTAAGTTCAAGCTCATCTATTACACATGTGAGTTTATCTAATACTCACTGCAGCATAGCCTTCGTCTTGATCGAAGGATCGTCCGGCCTAAAGTGCTTGTACTGGTCCACATCTTTTTCTAAGGCTAGCAGTTGTTTTTGCAACTTGTCACGAAGTCCTGGCAACGTATCGCGAATGTGGTTCGTGAGCTGTTGATTCAGCACTCGCTGCAAATATGGGGTACCAAGCCGATCAGCTATGTGTCTGTACGAAGGATGGCTGTAAACAAAAATGCGAGTTATTAATATGATTTTCGGAAACATGCAAGCAAACATAAAACCAGTTTCCATAATCAAACTCCAAAGCTATCTTTGGAATATGCCTGTTAGAGCTTTATCGCCTAGATATTTTTATTATTCAGATTGTAATAACAACTGCTGCTTAGAAACATCAGTTCCCATACCATGAGCACCACAATTTACATTATATTCCATTTAGTGTATCTGTTAAAAATTTAGGAATAATTGTCGATAACCGTTTCAGTTGGGATCCACAGTTACAAGCTGTTAGCCGAAAATTGTTTGCTTCTGCAGCTTCGCTGAAGAGACTCCGTAATTTCCTTCCAATTGCCACCAAAATTGCCCTAGCACAGTCTCTGCTACTTCCTATTCTTGATTACGCTGACGCCTGCTATCCTGATCTCACAGAGGACCAGCTAAACAAGCTTGAGCGACTTCAAAATTTCTGCATTCGGTTTATATTCTGCTTACGCAAATATGACCATGTATCTCAATTTCGATCACAGCTCAAGTGGCTACCTATTCGCCTTCGCCGGAATACTCACATCCTCACACTTCTTTACAATATATTGTTCAATCCTTTGTCCCCGCGCTATCTCAAAGAATGCTTTAATTACCTTCATAATTCCAATGCGTTATCTCTAAGGTCATCAGAAAATTTAACCCTAAAAATTCCTATTCATGACACGACCTTCTATGGTCGTTCTTTTAACGTCCAAGCTGTACGTCTATGGAATTCTCTTCCTGTATCCATAAGACAAGCGCAATCTATTAATGTCTTTAAAAATCTAGTTGTAAATCACTTTTTGTCGATGTAGCTGCATTTTTATCTCTGCTGACTGGACTAAACTTATATATGTGTAGTCTATGTATTGTATAATATGTATATATGTATGTATATATAATATGTATATTTAATTCTAAAATTCGTTTATATACCTTGTTTCTTTTACTGACACCGCCGACTCTAGCTTTCTTTCAATCCTCTCCATCCAAAGGTTGTCTGGAAGAAATCGCTTTTAGCGATAAGACCGCCCATTGAAGCACTCTTTTTTTTTAAATTGTAATTTCCCTCATTTCTGTTCTGTGTTGTGGTGTTTTCAATAAAGTATTGTGTATTGTATATTACCATTTTTATCACATCTTACTGTCAAACACCATACTAATTTTTACCTTTTAAAATTTTAGTTTTGGTAATTAAAACCAAAGGTAAGGTAACCAAAATTTTAGTTGGTAGGTATTGACCTAATGAAATGTACCTGAGGAAGAACTTCCTCTCAGCGTTGAGCGCAGCGGAAATATCCTTTCTACCGTCGATGTCCTTCTGCGAGCGGTTGACGACGCCGATGTAGCCGCGCCTCAGGGGTAGCAGCTTGTTCTCCAATACGTCACGAGCGTCTGTACCCTCGTCCATAAGATCCAGCTTGGTTATCACACCGATTGTGCGGAGACCTGTGCCAAATGAAAAGTTTTATAGTGCTTCATCATCAGCCTATTAATATCCCGAATGCTTGGGCTGGCCTTCCCTATGGATGGAATAGGGAAATTGGGCCGTGACCCACTAAGCGGGCCACACCACCATCCAATGACCGACCATTGCGAAAGTTGCATAACATTCACGATCGCAGGTCGACTGTGCTAATCACCTGCGCCATGGAGCTCCTCCGTTTGTAGTGCTTCATCATCATCATCATTTGTAATGCTTATTCCATAGTAATTTTATATTTATAATTGCATTTGCAAAAATTTAAGTGTGTCCGTCAACAATTTGCGATAAATGTCAAACAGACCCATCGGGTGGTTATTAGTGATATAAGCAAATCACATAAACAAAATTGCAACAGAAATTTACACATTGATAAATCAGTAGAACAAAAAATGTTATCGACTTTACTAAGTAAGGAACAGTAAATTGAATATTAAATGCTATCTTGATATTCAATCAAGAAATTATAGTTTAACCAATCCTTAGGTAATATTCCTGGATTATGCAATAAATAAATACATATAGATGGTAAATAGGTCTGACCCCATATTGACATGTTAAAGACATTCATACGTGAATTTGATTTCCAATACAACTGTAGTCCATAAATGTGTCTGTCCTTAAAGGTTAATATTCTAATGCTTCCATACGACCCTGTAATTGCTTCCTCATGTACAATTTAAGAAGACAAGGAAGGTGCGTAATAGCCTGGTAATTGTATCAACGTACTACTACTGCTCCAAGGACTAAAAAGATACCATTGTTTGTCAAATTAATGCAGGTTTCGAATATTTAATATAACCATTTCTATTTTGGAATATTATGTTGCTATGATTTAATGTATTTGTTTCGAGTTTGCAATATAAAATTATATATTTGCAAATAAGACAATAAAAACCGGCCAAGTGCGAGTCGGACTCGCGTACCGAGGGTTCCGTACAAACCTGTATGTATTTTAATAATTATTAAAAAAATATTTTTATTTGCTAAATAGACGTTCTGCTGTACAGCCAATATGAGAGTTGGACGTTTTGCTAAACGGACATTCTGCTAATTAGACTTACTACTTATCAGACGTTTCGCGCTGTTGGACGTATTGCTACTTAGACCTGATCGTGAAGCTAAATAAGTACAGCCATTTTTAAAACAGAACAAGATTGTATTTGACCCCTTAAATTTTTAACCGCTTAATTTTTCTTTGTTATTTAAGCGCAAAATGTATATAGTCTCTATGATGTGGATATCCTTGAAATATAAATAATACTAGCGGCCGCCCGCGACTTCAACCGCCAAACTTTAGTATTATGAGAATCTCTCAGAAACCATTATTTTTTCGAGATAAAAAGTATACAATGCAGCAATCCAGGTAAAAAACTATAATATATGTGTGCCGAATTTCATTCAAATCTGTTCAGCAGTTTGTGTGACCGTGTAAAAATTAAAACTTACAAACTTTCACATTAATTATATTAGCGGAAAGTAGGATTGGTAACAGGGCTCCTTTGTATTTGTTTTTTTTCTCTGACTAAAGCATACCGCACCTTACACTATTTGAATAAAATCTATTTTGGAGAAAACCTTACCTTGCGGGTCTACTTCTTTGGCAAGTTTTAAGGCGTCGCTATTGGCCAGATCGGTGTTGGCAGGCGTCACTGCGAGGATGAGGCATGATTCTCGTCGGATGAACTGGAATATCATGGCCTTTATTTGCTGCTCGATGTCAACGGGCTGGTCGCCTATAGGCACCTTCGTCAAGCCCGGTAAGTCGATCAACGTCAGGTTGAGGACTGAGAAATATGACGACTGATTAGGTAGATACTTTATACTTACTGTTTCATAATAAGAACGGTTTAACATTTGTAAAAATAATGTTTTGAAGATTTGCTTCTGGGGCTATTAGGGTAATAGCCCCAGAAGTATGATCACCGCATGCAACACGATCAATACAGTGATATAAAGTTTAAGACTTTCAATAATTTCAGGGCACGAATCAAATTGACAAGCTATGTTGTTTGATTGTTCAATGCTCTGTAATCATCTATTTAAATTAAACATATGATCCACATTTGCCAAAACCTCATACTAATATCACCTCATTTATTCTTGGCGACAAAATAAAATGAGTAAGCAACCACAAACCAGAAACATCAACCGTTTATAATTTTAGTAAAGGTAACTTCAGTTTATAGTAATGGTAAACTAAAAGATTTTATGACAATTTGACCAAATGATGTGATAACATAACGAAAATTATCTGTTCCGTCATGGTGAGCCTCATGGGACGGTTGATTGAGTACGAAACTTAGCTATTTGCCAGAACTGATGATGACTAAAAGTAAATGACTCATCGATTACTGATTATAATAAGTGAATTCCAACTTCACTGTTTGTAAATACCAGAGATGTACAAAATACATAATAAAAGTATTTAAATACAAAATGTAAATACTTTCATATTTTTTTATTTCAAATACAAAATAATACGTATTTTCCAAAATATTTTATTAAAATATACCTTTAGTACTCAGTCATTAAACTGTGTTTATTTTATTGCGTTTTTTTTATCGTAGTAGCCCGAAATAAAACAGTTCAGTTCAGTGTCATGTCATAGTGAGAAAACAGAAATCGCATCAAATTGGTGTTGCTGTTGACTTAACTTATATTAAAAAAAATATCCGGTTCACATGAAAACGGGCGGATCCTGGGTCCTAGTATGATTTGGAAGATGGGTGGGTCAAGAGATTAAAACACGTATACCGGTTTTAGAAATGAAAATCTATTCCATGGTAGAATCAGGCCCAGCCCGGCTGCAAATCATACTGGGACCCGGTTTTCTGTGATTTTTTTTACTTTTTAGTTCCATTTTCGATTTCGAAGCCGGCTTTAATTTTTTGTTTAAAAAAATTTTTCATTTCAATCCCTAATAAAAAGAACCACATAATGTCGTGAAAAATACATTGTCTAAGTAAGCAAAAGTGCTCATAAAATAAAAACAACTGGGCGAAACATAATTATTTTTTTATGTAACTAAATGCCAAGTATTTCCAATTAACCAAAAAAAAACCACTCAATGCATATTATAAATCTTTATGTAATAGGTGTACATCTAAATAAAGTATCGGAATAATTACACCGTCTAAGTTTACAAAAACGCCCATAAAATAAAAACTACAGCGCCAAACCGAATTAAAAAAAATATACTGACCGAATCGAGAATTTTAAAACCTCCTCCATTCTAAAGTCGGTCAAAAAGTATTTAGCATTTTGCAAATACAAAATATTTCTAAAACTATTTCAAATAAAATAGAAAATGCTTTTATAAAAAAAGTTTTTAAAAATAAAATGGAAATAGGTATTTTCTATTTTGTATGTTGCATTTCAAATACTTTCATTTTTTAAATCACATCTCTAGTAAATACCTAATTAAATGTTATATCAACGCATATTGATATTCTTATCTTAATAGTTTGATAAAACTGGATAATACAAATAATTCGCATATATAATTTTACTTAATTCGTACGTAACCTAAATAAAATAGATAAATACCACAGTGAATCTAAATCTACAAGCGACTGACTGGCACAGACTTCGCACTGGTTCAATTTACTACTAACGAAAAAATTCTAAGTATTGAGGTTTCAGTACAAAAATACCACCCGCACATCCGAATTTCCTTGTGGATTTTCCAATAAGATTTTTCATAGAAGCCTTGCCCTGACAATTATTACACCTTACCTGACAATTACAAACAACAAAAACAATCAGTCAAATCGGTGGGACCGTTCTCAGACGATGCTTCGTCATATAAGTGGCATTTGGTTTTTATATGTATAAGATATCGTCTTTATCTAAAGCACTCGACCAACACTAACTCATTTTATACGCGGCACCGTGGATTTCCTTTTATAATGTCGTCATAGTCATAGCTAATACGTGTTATGAAGCCACAAGATACGCAAACAATAAAACCATATCAAAGCTTTACCGCAGTGGTCCATTTTGAAAAACAATGGTCTTATTATTATGGAAGCAGAACAGATAATGATAATAAATACTCACCATTAGGAGAATAGACGCGTAAATTGATGGGCACTGGCGAAATGCCCTTGTTGGAACCTGTGATGCGATCCGTCTCAGCTTCGATCTCTGATCGCACTTCGTTGAAATCCACGAATTTTTTGCCCTTGCAATGAAGAAACTCCGCATATTCTAAATAAAATTATTTCAAAAATAAATCAATCTAGTCACACTAATAAGATCTTTATCTTCAAAAAATAACAATTGAATATGTAATTAAAATTTTACTTTATTGCGAGCGATGGGATAAAATAATACATAAGTACCTATATTATTATGAATTACGAATAAAGTATGATAAAATCTCTTCTAAATTTTACTTCATTTATGTTTGAGGTAACTTACTATTATCATGCGTGTAGGTGATCGTATCATCTGCACCATAAGTTATTTAAGTTATAACGAGAGTTAGGAAACCCGAATGTTAATTCTATCTTTAGATAAGTTGCGGATATCCTTTCAGTGTGCAAGCAGCAAAATCAGCACATTTATGTTCCGTAGACGGTCGTTATCAATTATTCACAGATAAAACAAAAAATAACTTTCGGGCATCTTTTAGCACACAAACTGACTAAAGTCAAATATTTTTTATAAACCTTGAATTTAGGTACATAGTACATATTGAAGTTGCAGCCGTATTTAGAACTTAGATAAACGTTATCGATAGATAATATAAAAATGAGAATTCAGAGCGGAATGCAAGAGAATGACCTCAAAAAATAATTACTTTTTTAACAAAGGATATTGCGATTTTCGGACTCTTTTGCTACTTTATGTATATTGTAGAATTGGTATGTCGCTTATATGCTTGAAACGATGCAGTTTATGTATATAATACGTTCTATGGTGTGTAATTAGAGCTAATTAGTCTTTTTGACATTCAGTCGGCACTGAAGGTTAAAGTTGTAAAAATAAAACAACAAAATTTGTCATGAACTGAATTAGGACTTCTCAGCGTATACTTGGACTTCATTACTATACCTGACTATCATTAGGTATATATAATGGTTGTCTAGGACGGGGTACAATCCAAAGCTCGACAGTTTTCCAAAGCGCAACAAAACACCTCAGACTACAAAACCCTACATCCACTTCCAATTAAAATTTGGAAAAGCACGCTACAGTTAGTGTGTCTCAAATTACACAATCATTATTTTAGCAGCATTGTTCATAAAAATATATATAAGTATAATCGCTAATAACTTCTTCAGTTACGCATTACGAAAAAAGGTTGTGATTACCATAACTGTGTACTAAAATTAATTATTGTGTTCATTGACCATTAAGTGAACATATGAACAGAGTACAATTTGTGCCCCAGCGCATAAGCAATAATCAAGGGCAGTACCATATCATTTTCAGTTCAGTCGCTAAGTTTTTTGAAGCAAAATAAACCTCATATTCTAATTGTTTATATTTACTGTAATCTATATAATATGATATGTCCGTATATGTAGCTGATTTAAAAGTTTATGAAATCAATTTCATATGAGAAAATCCATAAAGGCGTCTAATAACTTACCTGCATTTCCATTTATCAGCTGTAGAATCAAAGGACGTCGTGTGACGATCCCCGATCCTCGAGGCAAAAAATCTCTAGAAAAGGAATAGGTATATATATATATATATATTATCTTGATTAGTTAAAGTGAGTGTGGGTAACAGTTGTTTTTAGGGTTCCGTACCTTAAAAGGAAAACCGGTACCCTTATAGGATCACTTTGTTGTCTGTCTGGTCCGCCTATCTTTCTGTCTGTCTGTCTGTCAAGTCTTTATCTCTAGAAAGTTTGGGATTCCCCATACATAGAACTGAAACTCAAAAACTTTTTTTTATCAGACCCATACGTGAGGAGTATATACGGATAGGTCTTCAAAAATGATATAGAGGTTTCTAATATCATTTTTGTTCTAAACTGAATAGTTTGCGCGAGAGACACTTCCAAAGTGGTAAAATGTGTGTGTGTCCCCTGTAACTTCTAAAATAAGAGACTGATAAAACTAAAAATAATATATGATGTACATTACTATGCAAACTTTCACTGAAAATTGCAAAACCCTCTTTACTCATTCTGCCTAGGGCTAACATCTTCTAAAATACAAAATCTGGACCTGGCGTTGCCTAATACCAGAGATCTATCCCTAAACGCCGAACATTATCTTATATTTTTCCGAACTCGAAGCCTGAAAGGTCGGACACAAAATATTGAGCCGGAATATGGCAGAACTCCTCCCGCCGCTCTATTTTACATTAATCCTTTTTCTCAGTTTAGTGTACTGCTAACATAACACTAAGTAATCACGCACAGACTCCAGCAAATAAAATACGACATTGTACTGTCTAACAATTTAAAGCAAACATAACACCCTTACATTATAATCTCAGTGGGCTAGAATAACATTACTATGTATTTTTATTCCGCAAAGCCTTCGTAAAGGTGATCGTACATTTGTCAGCACCGTACGCGACCGCACGCACCGAAAACGCCACATTTACCTATAGCCTTTACGAAAACGCTTACGGTGCTGGGGGCCTACTCGCTTTCTCCGAAACGAACTTTCGATAGCGAAGTTCAAACGAAATTTAATTTCGTCAATTGAAAGTTATACTTAATTTGAACGATAAACTATAAAATTGAAGCTTTCTTTGAGTAGGCTTGTAAAATCTACACCTCAATCTATATTCCGACAACGAATATTATTATAGTTAAAAACGAACCAGAAATTTAGTAAGAAAAGTACGAAGTTTCGATCGAAATTTCGTTTTTCGTTAAATTAGAGTAGGCCTACAGATATGACATACGAGGATTCGCATAATTGCATATGTCGTAATATGATTTGCTTCGATTTATCATAAATCCTAGGGAATTTGCGAAAACGCGGATAATTAGGAAATGGCGCTGAAAAAGATAGAATTTTTGCGAAAACGCGAATCGCCCCAGTAAGATTGAGAAAAGAATCGTTGCCTTATTATAAATATTCTTGGTTTCACACTGGGCCAGGTTAGGTAAGTGTTGTGACTTGTGACCATAAGGCACTTTGCAGACGACGGGGCGGGCCGGTTAATTTCGCCGCGAATAATAGCACAAAGTGAATCCTGTACTTCAAACGCACACAGAGGGCAAAAAGACCGCGCCGCAGGTGCCCGGCGGGCAGTGGCGGCGCGGCATGTCCGCGGCTGCCCGCCGTGGATCATACAAACCAGTTTATATTCAGTAACGCAGACGGCGGCGCGGGGCGGTCAGCTCAGTCCGCGCCACGCGCTTATTAGTGATGGACTATTCACTAGAACGAACGTCCTAAACTGACCGCCTCTGCCCGTCGTGTGCTTTGTGTACGCGGCGCGGGCAGCCGCAGACATCGACGGGCAGACGCGGTCTTTATTGCTTCGCGGACAAAATGCCCGCCCCGCCCCGTCGTCTGCTCACGCCTAAAGCGCGAGCCGAGCTAGCATAACGAGCGTGCCGCGGAAGCGGCCGTCGAAACGCCAAAAAAATCAGTAATATTGAGTAATGTCATCGAAATTGTCTAATTCTGTTTTCGGAAAATGCCTGGGATTTCCACAAAAATACGATTTATCGTACCATCCAACGACACATATGATTAATTTTAAATACGGTGGTCAGCTCAATTCATAAATAGCCAAAAACCCTCTCGTTTGTATGGAAGTAGAAGGGTATTTGTTTGAAAGTGTTCTGCATAACAGTTTCTATATCTAAGAGGTTGCCTGTCTGCAGACATTTTTGAAGTTGCTTTTTTACTTTATATGTCTTTTTATGTCAGTTGTGTAAAAAATATATAAAGTAGAATTATTTGGAAGTTGGTTAAAACTAGACTGCAGAAAATCCCTAAATTATAGAAACGGAGAAAGTATTATTTTGAAATCAACTTTAACTTTGTCGTAAAATAAAAATAACAGACGTTTTATTTATCATAATCAAATAGTTTTAATTTATTGTATTTATTTAATGGCAATTCAATGCAGCAATAAATTCTATAAAATACGTTTAACATAAATCATTTAAATGTTAGTTAGGAATGGAATATATTGACTATTATTAGTTTAAATATTTTTTTAATATTTATTTATAATTAATTACATAACAAGTAGTACCGAAGTGCGGTCTGTGAGGCCCCGGCAGGTACTTGACTTGATAGTTTACCCCTTTCCCAACACAATACCGATTCCCGCTTTTTAGTAGCTGGAAGGACAGTGCCGACGACGTCGTCGGAACAAGCTGTGTTGTCGTCGCGAACGTATTTGGTGAGTAATTACGTTTTGAAATTCCGACGCGGCCTTTCAGGCCTGACGTCGGTACTTATGTAAGTTTTTTGTTTTATTTTTTGCTATAGTAAACTGTTTTCACAGATATATGAACTTTAGTAACAGCAGGGACTTCCGGTAGTAAATGTAATAGTTGTGCGACAGATTGACAGCATTGAAAAAGATCTCGGATATGTCTCATCATCATCGGCCTATTAATATCTCCACTGCTGGGGCACAAACCTTCTCTGGATGAAATAGGGAGATTGGGCCATGACCCACCACACCGGCTCAATGGAGCAGACGCAGACGGTACCAACGATTAACGTGCCTTCTGAAGCATGGAGGAGCTCGAGTTTTTTTTTTCTTTCACAGTGGAGGAAAATTTTTGCTCACCCATCTGATGACTGACCACTGTGAAAGTTGCTTTACTTCAACGATCACAGCCAAACGCACTAAACGCTTGCACCATCGAGCTCCTCTTGGATATGTATAAATAATCCAAAAATGATCAAGTGATTGAGAACTGGCAAGAGTACTAGGTTCTGATAAGCCTTCACATGTGAAGATGAAGCTAAGGAAGTCAAGACACGAAAAAATTGTCATTCACGCCAAAGAAAATCGACCTACAGAAATTTTTCTTCTCTTTTTTTCTTTATATGTTCTCTCCAGGCAAGTCGGCTGTATAGACAGTGTAAAATACCTGTCCGAGGACTGAGCCCTGCGGCACTCCAGCACATATTTCATAAAAATGTGATGTTTCTGCTGATTCCTTAACTTGGAATATGCGTTCATTAATATAAGATTCAAAGATTTCGGGATAACTATGTGGCAATCTGCATTTTAGTCCCTTATGCCAGACCCTATCGAATGCCTGCTGAACATCCAAGAACAATACTCCGTTTCCTCAAGAGTCTTTCTAATTATTTCATGAACTCTATGCACTTGTTCTATAGTGGAGTGTTCCTGTCTACACCCAAATTGATGATTCAGTATCACATTGTTTTCTTTGACTATTGGAAGGATTCTGCGAAACAACAGTTTTTGGAAGATCTTTGATAGGATTGGCAGTAAGCTGATGGGTCGGTATGACCTAACTTTACTTGGTGCTTTGCCATCCTTATGCACCAATATTATTTGGGATACCTTCCACAGCCTTGGAAAGTACTGCACCCTGAGTATTCCGTTATACAGAGTTGTTAAGAAGACTATAGCTTTCTTAGGAAGTTGTCTAATGACTTCTTTAGTGAGCAGATCAAAAATCCAGGAGCTTTTTTTCTTTTAATTCCAAGGACACCCTCCACACCTCTTTCACTATAACAGTTTTTGGTGGCAAAGCCATTTGGTAAAATTTAAGCCAAATATTATTATACTGTTATATTCAAAATGTATCCAGTTATTTTTTTTCTATACTCATTTTTTCTTAAATCCTTTATTTTACATCATAATGGAAGGACAAATATTTAACTCATAACTTTTTTTATAAGACTCAATATTATATACACAGACTCTCAGGACTCACGTTAGTACTAACATTAAAAATGCACGTCGGTATTTAAAGGTTAAACTTGGTCACATTTTTTGGTTTAAAAAAGCCCATTTATTTTAGTAGGAAAGAATCAAACCTACTGATTTTGGTAATCTAAGCAGATGACACTTGCTAAAGGGGGATTGCTTACCCATAGGGTTGCCAGGTGCATATTGAAGTCTTAAGTTCAGCCAATGTTTACTTGCAAACTAATGACATAAAAAACCTGACTCGTCCAAGTGGTAATTAAGCCTGACACTTTGATAAGAGATTGTCCATTAATCATGCGAGGCTGGAAGAGGAAGGGTTCCGAGAAAACCATGAAATATCACAAGGGGGGGATATAATGAGATATCATATGTATTTATTTTTCATTGAACACAAGGATTTCTAAACTTAACAACTACATGTATCCTTGACTCATTCTATTGCCAAGTAATGGTTTAAAGATAATATTTAGAAAATGTCAATTTATACTTTGTATTTTTAAAAATACACATGATTTTTGGCATGGACAAGGGGTAGTCTAAAACGCACCACATATCACTAGAAAGGGGGAGGGGGTTAAAAGTTGCTTAAGAAACATCACATGATTAATGGGCAACCCCTAAGCTAAGGTATTCATGGGAAAAGAAAAATTTTAACTTCTTACTATATATAACTAACAATTAAAAAGACACACAAGTTTTATGAAGCTTTTTATTTCACATCATGTAGAGCTATTTCAACCACTCTAAAAGTTTAAAAGGGAAGATATTAGTTTAATTTGACTTGTCCAACCTTTTTGATATTTTTACTTCAATACTATAAAAACAATATAGGTACTGTTTATCTTTAATCAATAATGGAGTTATATGAAGTAACTGTCTGATCCCCATGAACCTTGAATATAAGTTAGTTGAATGTCAGACCAAACAATTACACATACAAAAACTAGCCTCTATAATGATTCCTTCACAAGATGATTCATACAAAATTATGACCTTATTTGAATTATCATTAACATTCATTTTGAGTTTATAAACCTGTACTGAGGTTTTTCGTAATTCTTTATTAGTAATAATTAATGTTTATTGAACTAATTATGTAGTAATTATTACTACATAATTAGTTCAATAAACATTAATTTAGGAAGAGTATCATCACTGTCTATTATCCAGAAAATGTAGGAAACAACACATTAATGATGTTAAATAGTGAGAGGAAATGTCAATAAATACAACTGCTGGTTCCTGTGCTAAGATAACAAATTTATGATAACAGTACTTTTTATGAATTACTTTTTAAATAAAATGAGGAATGACAGTCTACTCCTATTGTTAAAATAAATTTCTTTGTATTCTACTTTTCTAACATTCAACTTTAACGCGATTATTACACATAGCTGTCTAAAAACATTATTTTTATGTTGATTGCAACAGATTAGATATATCTTTAGTTTCAAATTGTAAACAGCCTTTGTTCCTATGCTATTAAAAATATCCTCAATGTAAACATACTCCTAAATCTTTACTTTACTGTCTAATAAGATCACAAGTTTAGCTGCAAACTTTTAAAATGTGTTTACTTAACATTTTTCCAACAAAAAGTAAAGAAATAAGCATAAACATACCACTGTAAAAAAAATAATTGGATAATCAAAAACTCAAATAGGAAAATGTTTCAACAGAAACAAGCTTTCTTCCTGTAACTATTTGTTAATGCACTCACCTGCCTACAAAATTTTCTAATACCGAACTCTTTCCAGCGGACTGACCACCCACAACTGCAATTTGTGGAAGATCCAAAGACATGTGAACGCCCATTTGCACAAAGGCATCTTGTAATTTGTTTACAATTGGGATCAACTGCTGCATTCCGAAATTCCCAGACATTTTTACAAAGAAACATTAAATTTATCACAAATTTTAATTACACTTGCTCATCATCAATTCATCATTGATAAACTAATTTTTATTTTTCAATATGGTGGTGGGTGGTTACGTCGCGTTCCAACTTCATTCATTTGATTCATTCACACAACAACAAATAATGCTGTCAGATAATTTTTGACATAGTTCCGATTCTCTAGATTTAAGTTATAGCAAACTATAAAAATGAATAATTACAAAATTATAGTTAAAGTAAATGTACATTTTAGGAAACAAAAATTGGTAAAGTTTTTTACTAAAATAATACTATTACCAACTATTACAATGTTCATTACGAAAGCAAACAAAACGTGTAACGCATTCTGGCCTAACAAATCAATAAGTTTTGACATGCGCAACGAAATGTAGGCCAATTTACGAAAATAATATGAAAATTCAAATTTCACCTTCTTTTTGAACACGAAGAATCAGTTCTTTTGGGAAAATATTTCTGAGAACGATAGCTATTGTAAATAATTATTAAATGTTGGGTGTCCTTATTATAGTTCATGGAAATAATTTATGATATGCTCAAAAGCAAAACTCGACATTTTTAAACTATTGTGAACACTATGTATTGAAAATAAATTAATGATGAGAAATATTAGTTCCAATAAAAAAGAAATCAAGAAATTATAATGGATTAATTGATGAATAAAAAAAATTGATATGTGTATGATTTTTAAAGAATAACTGCCTTCTATAATCCATGAACAAATTAAATGTCTTTAAATCTAGTGAAATAATCTATTTGTGTAGGTGGATACTGACCTTCCGACGAAATTTTCCAATACTGAACTTTTTCCTGCTGACTGACCACCTACTACTGCTATTTGTGGTAAATCCAGTTGCATATGCACACCCAACTGTGTAAATGCATCTTGCATTTTATTCACAATTGGAATCAATTGCTCCATCCCGATATTCCCCGACATGGCTGCTGGATTTCTCAAACACTCCTCGGTTTATGAGCTTCTCCGCACAACTTCGCCTACTGATTCGTCAATATGATACAGACCGATGCACGGCGCAAGCGTTAAAGTAGAGATCAACTTTACTGCTTTACCCGTCTCTACGAGAAAAATCATTGAAGTTCATTACTAACATGTCTGCGTTAGATATGGTAAACTACTATACAATATAAAAATATAATTAGGTAATTGCTAATGTACGATTAACTTCGTTTTCTATTTATGTCCACAAAGAAGGACAAGAATTCCCAAATTTTTGGGTTGAAATTAAAATGTCGAAAAGCATTTAAAGGAAAAAATATCTTTTCATTTTGGGTTTTCATATAGTAAAATTCTAAATAACAAGCAAGAATCGACTAGATTCTAATCCAGCTCAAAGGACCATAGTATAAATATAAATGTTAAATTATTTCAAGTGAGAATATTGACTGAAACCATTTTCAGCATATAACCATATAACCATATAACCATTTATATGGTGACTTTTAAATAATAATAACCTTTCTCCATTCTACTATGATTGATCTTAGTTAATATGTAAAGGTAAAAGTAGCATTTGAAGCTGGATGTTATTTCTATTTATGATATGTAGTTTAATACAGGGTAAACGATGTATAATTATTTCTATAATGTTAAATTCATATTGTGATGTGATTTCATGATGTAGAAAAGAAACTTAAAAAAACAGTTTGTCATTATTAACAATTACAGACTGTTACCAATAATTACATTACATTTTATAATGCAATTTACTGACAGTGGGGCAAAGCACACTTTATCGCGATAAGGCTAAGAACTCATGAAGATGATTTTATCCACACTAACCGCGGGCAACGGTAGAGCTGTTTTATGCGTTCATTTTTAATCTTGTGCGTTCTGTCGGCCAATCGCAAACTTTTTTGAGATTTACAGTGGTGTCAATTCTGACTTGATTCTCTAAACATAAAACTAAATACATCAGGCTCTTCTTTTCATTCTTTAAAGGGAATAACAAAGATATACTGTTGTTTAGGTTTAGAATTAGAAAATCATACCAGAATAGACACCAATGTGTAACTAAAGAGAAAATTGCATATCCATCGATACTTTTCAGAACAAGTATCTTAGGGCCGCAATAATAAAGCAGTAATAGATTAGTAAATAGCCCGGTGATTATCACCTCCATCTGTCAAAACAAAGCTACAATCGGATGGTAGTTCTTTTTCGGCTTCATTTATTTGTGGCATTGTAATTGGCGTGGGATGGGATGATGATATGCTCAGATCCTGGTGGAGTTTTTCCTCCTCTATTTTAGCGCTGCTGGCGCTCTGGAAGCAGTCGGGCTTCGGCGGTGACGAGACAGTCTGGGGCGCTTGTCATCGAAGAATTGTCGGCAGCGCGTATCGCGAGGGTGAGCATCCATCGGTACATAGCGGGGGGTGGGCTGAACAACGACCTTCCCATGCTTGACTCGGCGGTGTTCGGATGGGATGGGAGTGCTGGTGCGCAGTCTCAGTGACTGCGGGCACTGCACTGGCTTCAGCGGGGCTTGTTGCTCCAGATTGTAGGAGGGCGCAGCTGGAGCCACGGCCCCTTCGTTGGTGTTTTTCCTTCCTCTGTCCGGTGGGTTTCGTTGCGAGGGTGGGGGCGCCATCGCGGAGGGTGCCGGGAGTTTGGAAGCGAGGGTTGTTTTAGAAAATTACTGGTGGGTAATAGAATTTAAAAAGAGGGTATGTCGAAATGGTAAATGAGGGCAGTTATAAAAAAAATGAATTAATGTGGGTAGGGGTCGGGGGACACCCAGAGATTTTCACCACGAAAATCACTCAGTGCCATTATCACAGTGCTGTTGATTTAACTGCACAAGCGTCTATTTCGTGGAATATGGACAGTCTGCACAACGATAGATCTGACGCACGAGCGCGAAGGCGCGCAGTAGTCTCAGTGCGAGAGATAGAGGCCGGGCTCGACGCGAACGGAGCCACACGACCTTGGGCAACGGCAACACGAGAACAACTACGTGGCTGTCGGACCCACTGATACATGGATCCGTTATTAAGCGATATATTAGTTTAAACTTTAATTCGACCGATTTCGTTGATGTCTCTTTCTCTTAGCGCTTTATCACGATTCTAGTCCAGTGGCGGTGCTAGGCGTCGGCGACGTCGGCCACCGCTGACGGCCTCGCGTCTGAGGGGGCCTCGCAAAAAAAAATTACAAGTAACCTATTTATTTTCGTTTCTCCTGGCCGGGCTTAGGTAGCCGGCCCCGAACAATTCGGGAAAAAAGCTAAGCAGATGATAATGACTTTTATTATTTTCGAACACGTGCGTGATGAAAGCGAGTAGTACTTTACGGGTATTCAGAATCGTCTGTCTGGCAACACTATTTTTGTAATTAAATTTCTATGTTTGTAATTATTTTTTGTCATCATTCGATTATCAATAATAAAACTCGTTTACTCATACGTTATTTTATAATTTGGCTCACTTAATTTAACGGTTTTTAACTGCGAAGTAAAATAGGCCTCGCGAACTTGATGTCGCCGACGTCCACATGTGGTCTACGCCGCCACTGTTCTAGTCAGGGTATTCTTGACCATGATCCTGGACGCGGCAAGTCTGGGTAAATTACATTGGAGCAACTGCCATCTGACCTCTTAAACCTTGAACAGGGGAAACCAGACCATTTTTTGAATCACTACTACACATCCATCGTTATCTAAATGTGCAAGTTTCGTCACGATGTTCACTGACCAATTATGACACACCACTAACGGCCGCGTCGAAATTCTTCTAGTTATTCTTAAGCTGAAAGGCAGCGCCATCTCTTCGCATTGTAGGTAACTTAATTTCTTATTTGCATGATGTGTATTCAGTGCATTCGCCCGGATAGCGAAGGGTGCGGGTTCGAGTCCCGTCTGCTGCCTGATCCGCGTGGATTTTTTTCTAGTTATACTTTCTTTAGATTTAAACATCAAGCAGTTACATACTTTAAAAATAATAAAAATTATGACTATAATTGCTATTTCTTCTTTCAAATGTTTACTACTTGTAAAAGTATTCATTTGACATTGTGGGTTACCTATAATGCGAAGAGATGGCGCTGCCTTGCAGCTTACGAATGGCTAGAATGATTTTGACGCGGTTCATGAGGGCTGCGATAGCATAATTGGTCAGTGCATTCGCCCGGATTGCGAAGAGTGCGGGTTCGAGTCCTGTCTGCTGCCTGGTCCGCGTGGAATTTTTTCTAGTTATAATTTAAACATCAAGCAGTTACATACTTTAAAAAATAATAAAAATTATAACTATAATTGCTATTTCTTCTTTCAAATGTTTAATACTTGTAAAAGTATTGACACATTTGACATTGTGTACCTATAATGCGAAGAGATGGCGCTGCCTTGCAGTTTAAGAATGGATAGAATGATTTCGACGCGGTCCGTGAGGGCCGCGGTAGCATAATTGGTCAGTGCGTTCGCCCGGATTGCGAAGGGTGCGGGTTCGAGTTCCGTCTGCTGCCTGGCCTACGTAGAATTTTTCTAGTTATATTTTCTTTAGATTTAAACATCAAGCAGTTACATGCTTAAAAAATAAAAATTATTACTTAAGATTAAGTTGTATGGACTAAATATCCTTTGCCTTCTTATAAATAGCATAGTACAAAAAAATGTCCGTGGTTAGTTTATGTCAATTTTTCCGCTAGAGGGCGCTGATTCGCGTCTGTCTGTGGTCTTTGTGACGTCACACTATTGATTGTGAAAAGGAAAGAGATCGTCTTTTGGAGACGCCATCTTTTTAAAGTGATATAAGTTTTTGGTAGCGTAGAATATAGTTAAAATCTAAAGTAATCTTCGTTAGGAAATTAGCATTTGAGCTTAGATAATTAATATATTATAATACCGAGTGAAACTGCCCAAGGTAGATATTTATTTTGCTTTTGTTGTTTAAACAGTCAAAGAAATAGTTTATTTACGGTTCTTCTACTTTTATCTTGTATGTACCGTTATTTTGTGCTAGATTCGAAGCAAAAGTTTAAAACGACTGTGTATCGACTAAATAATAATGAACTGTTCAAGAAAAACCTATAACATCGATCCAGCGTTCATCGTACGGATGTAACACGTCAATAAACCTCCGAGGGCAGGGCTCTCATTTGTCCCTGTGCTGTGAAAGTGATTCGATAGTTTTGTGGTAGTAAATGCAGTGTACCTAAACAAGTGTAAAAACTGTGCTTCCCGACCTCTGTAAACTGAAAAGTGAAATATCGCTTGCGTTTAGTGAGTAATCAGTTTTGAGTATCAATCAGGTGTTTCTTGTGCTGGTTGCAGTTGGTGGTTAGTGCGAGGGTAACCTCCTGATGGTGTGTACATCGCAGCATGTCTGCACTCTCGACGCCGGGCGGCGGAGGTACTACGGCGCAGACGAAGCCGACGTCCGGCAAGCAAAAATATCAGAAGTTGGACATCAATAGCTTATACTGCGCCAATAGAGTAAGTACGATACCCATGATTTGTCATACAGATGAAAAAATTTAAAACCCACAAAAAATGGGTAAATGTTCAGTGACTAAAAAGTTATTGAAGATAATGAATGTTCTTTGTTAAAAATAAATAAAATAATTAAATATTTTCACAATATTATAATATTGTGGACATAATGCTTCTTCGACCTCCTGACAAAGGAATTCAAATTGTTGAATTCTACAATATAAAGTTACTGTCACAGTTGAATAGATTGACCTTCATTGTTCAGTATCTTTGCAATATTACTGTAGATAAAACAGCTGAGGTGCTTTCAAAAACATACTTATCCAATGGCAAAGATGGGTGTATTAGTGACATAGGAATTGGTTTATTTGTACAGAAGGTTAGTGTCATGTCTTACTTTATTCTCTATAATCAAATTGAGTTTTTGTTTTATGTATTGCGTAGGTCAATGACCAATATTTCTGAAGTCATTGTTTGAAACATAAGTTTTAGTAGATGTTACTGCATTGGACAATGTGGCTTAATTTATTGGCAGGTTTTGTAATTTTTAGAACATTACAATTGTATTGGGTATGAATTCTACAAATACCATTCTCTAGCATTCAGTGGTCAGACACTTCCTTTCTAGAACAATAGTGTTGGGGATTGAACTTCTTGCCTCAGCTCAAGCTAGGGGGGTGGCAATGTTCAGAATTAATAAAAACAATGTGGTAAGCTATCTGCGAGTCATTCTTTCTTCTTTCATTTGATCAATGATGTCAACTCCTTCAGTACAATTATAATATGTCATGATTTCTGGCTTTTGCGCAGCACGGGTAGTTTCATTGATTGTGTTGTCATAATGTAAATTTGTTAAAAGAAGAACCACTTTTTGCTTTTTATTAGGAACATAGAATATTATGATCTCACCAAATCGGAATATTATAGGTACTTGGCTGGTTTCTGTCTATAATGATTATCTAAAAATATTTTGAAACAAACAAGACACCCAATTGATTAATTAATCAAAATGAATTAAAAATCAAAGTTTGATAAGATATTAACATAAAAATTTTATTATACGGAAAACCAATAAAATTTTAATTGTAGTAAGAAACCAGACTTAAAAAAATTATTTATGTGAGTAGTGTGCAGTGAGCAATTTGCCTTAAATTTACTTTAATTTGTAAAACAAGAAGGTCAGAAAAGGGGGGGGGCCGCAACTAGGACGCTTGACCGTGACAAACACATAGTGTAAAAAATTATATGAATATTGTGCCGCAGGCGGAAAAAGGCTCATAGCACAAGGACTCTAGGGTTAAGAACTGTGTCAAAATGCGATACTATTGAATCAATTAGGATACGTAACGATTTTAGTTGAGAATGTAGATTTATAGAGCTAAGGATTCCATAAATACAGTGGTTAAATTTTTGTTCTATGATAAATATTGACATAGTTATGACCAAATTACTAAACGAATTTTCGGCTGGTCGCGTGGTGACTGTGACATCACAGAGCTCTAGCGCTCAGGTGCCAGCGTGCATAGAGACACTGAAGTTCGACTGGAGTGAACCCGATCGAGCTCTGTGACGTCACACGTTTCGGTCGCCGGTGAATATTGTTAATTTGGTAAAATTTGTTATAAAATCACAACAAATGAACCGATTGTGATGATTTAAAAAGTATATTAATTAAAAAGCATATATCATTATACTGTTGATTGGCTGACCTAGTAATGATCCTCATTATTACATTAACTTATTAAAATCAGTACCCAGGTTGGCATGCTCTGTTCGCCATCTAAGTTATATTAAAAAGAAATGTTTACCTTCATATTAACCAGCTGAAGCTAATATGCTATAATGGGAACTGTTATACTAGAGGTTCTTGAAACTTTTAGTAACGATTGACCATTTGTAAAAATTACTGTCTTGCCACAGACCAACATTTATGATTTGCACTAATACTGGCCAGCCATTAGGGATGCTCGATGAACATCGATGTTCGATGATCATCGATGTTGAAAGCAAAAACATCGCTGTTTAACATCGATATTGCTATACGAAAAATATCGGCATCTATCATCGATGTTAACTCACGGCCTCACGCACGACACGACCAATACAACTTACGAAACAAAATATGTCTTTTATGAACGCATCCACAAATCATGTTTATTTTGAACGCGTATTCATTGAGGGCGCACCAGTCGTTCGTTCCTTTCATTCGTACGTTCTTCGTCGTCTCCTCGCTCGCCAGATCCAAGTGATCCAACAGAACAATTTAATTTGTGGAGCGAACATTATAAACTTGTAAATGTCAAAAACTCTACGCCTTCCCCTCATGATCACGAAATGCCTTCCGAGATGAGCTACTTTTTGAAAAATCCAGTATCTGATCTTAAACGAGATCCTATCCAAGTTTGGAACAATGTCCTCGGTTCCACTTACCCGAAATTGAAAAAAATAGCGGTGAAATATTTGAGTACTATCGCGACATCAACGCCATCCGAAATACTGCACTGTGTTTTATAGAACCAAAAATATTTACACCTTAAGGTTTTTGCATAAATCAATTATTTAAACCCTAATAAAGGCAAGAGTTCAATTCCCAGATCATTTTTAGTAAAAAAAAAGATATGAAGTAGCAAAGTTTTTGAAATTTGCACATGAAAAAATTAACAATTTAATTTCCTCAAAAGACGGTTCCATATCTGTCCATGAGATATTTGCCAATTGCTAAGGAATTATTGATGGCATAATTTTGTAATTTTATTTTATTTATAAGTGTCCTAGTTTCCAAGAAATATAGTTTTTTAAATTTCGATTTTTAATTTTTTTCTCCAAAAATCGGCAAAAGTGGAACCTGGATTTAGTACAGAAAGGTTTTATAAGCCAAGTTCTATCACCCATAAAAAAATCAAGTTTCACTTTTGCGGTTTTAAGAAGTTATGACAGAATTTAGATAAAGGTCAACTTTCATGATCTAGGGTTGTCACAAAGGTCAACTATGAGTTAAATGAAAATGTTAATTTTTTTTGTTATTAATACCGTCAATCAATTGAATAAATTATATTATATTATAATTGAATAAGTGTTGTACTTATAGACGAATACAATATACTTACATATACTACGTACCTAATGTAGATGTGATAACGTAGGAATACTTTATGTTTTAATTTTGACGACCACATTTTAATTTTGCCTTACACGCTAAATGGCAACGAAAAAATAAACTATGTTGTTTGAAAAAATTTAACACACATCCTATACTATAAACGAGCAATTATTGTATGTACCTATATAAATATATTGGTATGTAATTGGTTTCTCGGAAACGGATCTAACGATGGTGATGAAATTTTGGATTTAGAAATTCATTCACATTTAAAATCAATCTAGATCAATCTAGATCAATCAAATAAATCATATTCGTTTAATAATTCTAGGTTACTTTCATTTGCGACGTTCGAAAAATCTTCATCTTCAGCATCTTCCTCTGCTTCGAATAACGGCAATCGATCTGCATCAATTGGTTGTAAGAGCTCGCAAACAGCTGAAGGCAAGGGAAATCACTTAGAATATTTTCGACGTTGGCTGATATTTGCCATAGAAATAAACGGGTCTGATGATTCTAGGGCACGGTGAAAGAGGTCCGTCATTGTGGTTCTCCTGTTCATTTTTCGGCAATGATGCTCTCTGTCTGAATGCTAGAATTTATTTCGGGACTCAGCTGCTTGTTCAGATAGCATACCGATGGGCAGTGCACTGGACGCAATAATTTCTTCACCGTGCATGAGGATTTTATGAACTGTTACTGTCTTCGGGTGCCAACTATAAAAACGGACATATTTTTCAACCCTAGATCATGAAAGTTGACCTTTATTTTATTTTTTTTACTTTGCTACTTCATATCTTTTTTTTTATTTAAAATAGTGATCTGGGAATTGAACTCTTGCCTTTATTAGGGTTTAAATAATTGATTTATGCAAAAACCTTAAGGTGTAAATATTTTTGGTTCTATAAAACACTCGGTGTCAACCCTAGCATAAAAATTTAAAAATTAATATCTTCTAAACGCCGCAAAAGTGACACGTGGCTTATTTATGTATGATAGACCACATCCGTAGGTTTATTTCTATCTAAGTTCTAGGTTCCACTTTTTCGTTTTTAGGGAGAAAAAACAATAAATACGAAATACAAAAAAAAATGCTGCTCCCAAACCAATGCATTTTTTTAAGCTAAAGAAACGCGTTTATACACCTCTGATTATGCCCGATTGACACATATTTATTAAAAAAATATATTGTTAATATTCACTTTATAAAAAAATATTCTAGATTTCATAGGTCAATGATTTTTTTTCTCAAAAAGTATTTGAGATAGACTTCTGTAAATTGAACTCAAGCCTTTTTTAGGGTATAAATAATCTATTTATGTAAGAACCTGAACATGTAAATTTTTTTGGTTCCATAAAACACTGTACTGTTTTCAAAAGCTGGCTCTACTCTTTATCAACAAAGAAATAGATTAAAAGGTTCTTCATTATCAAAATTACTCTTCCTTCAGTCAATTGATACAAAATATTGGAATATGTAATCATTTGATCTGTTTCTTAATAAATCCCGAACTTTTACACTGTTTTATTTTTTTATCAGTTATTTTGTTGCATAAATCATCGATGGCATCCAACATCGATGTTCGGTTTTCGATAAATATCGAACATCGATGTCGGGCTTTCGATTATGACATTGATGTCATCATCGATGTTTTTCGGATATCGATCATCCCTACCAGCCATTAAGATTGTATGATGTCAAATTCAACTTGCTATTCACTATGCCATAGTGGCACACCAGCATTTATCTATTTACTAAATAAAAAAAAACAAATTAGTAGTGTGCATGAAATTTCTTAAAAACTGTTAATTTCTATATCATAACAGTATGTGTTTTATGTTTCAGAACGAAAATTCAGAACCGTCCTCAGTAAAATCTCAGCTAAGCCGCAAACATGGAATGCAAAGTCTTGGAAAAGTACCTTCGGCAAGACGCCCACCGGCCAATTTGCCTTCTCTGAAAACTGAAACTGGTCAAGATCCAAACACTAAGTAAGATTATTGATAAATTATTGCTAAAAATATTACAAATATTTCGGTTTTTATTGTTCTCTATTGAATGTTTTTTAACATGTTTGTTTTAGCTCTATTTCTGCTGCTCCTACTACTGTATCTACTACGCCAGCAACATGCTCCTCTCAAATTATAGTGAGTATTTACATCATGAAGATGATCCTCAATAGGCTATTTGACAGAATGAAAAATAGAAGACCAATGATTGGCGTATGTATTTAACATAATATTAGATGTAATAGGGATAATGACTTTTTTTTTCTTCTTTTATCAGGTAGATTATCAAAAAGTATTGGACACGTATTCTTTCTTTTTTCGCATAATATAAACATTGCACAGATAGATATATTGATTTGAAAAATCGCATGAAGTCACGTTTTAGTACACTTTTAAGTGAAAATTCACTAAAAAGTGACGTCACGAGCCCTTCCTCCCAAACTTTGAGGCGCTACAACTTTGTCATTTTTTGTTTGATTGCCCAAAGAAAAAATATGTGTCCTTTATTTTTTGACTATCTAACTGACGACTAAATAGAATTTCGTTTACTGTACCTCGTCATTACCCCTATTTCACAATCCTATAAGTAATTAATAATATTACTTAAAATAATGAAATAGGAAATTATTTTTGATACTTTGTCACATGACCGTAAGCGCTTGGATTGGCGAACCCTAAAATGACGTCAACTGCTTGTAAACATGCTCTCGAAGGAACATTGTACTGTTTGACGTTTTAATGAGAGCTGTGTGACATCACCTGACTGTAAGCCAGAGAAATGTTTCTGCGGTTTATTTGAAAACGGAATGTTTATTTTCGTCTTGTTGCCGATATACACAACAGAATTATAAATATCCAGTTTTTATGGAGTCACTATACACATATTAATTACATATGAACGTTTTTTAAAATCTTGTCAAATAGCCTTATGTTTCAACATACGATACACAATATCTCATTTTCGTTATTATTTTCAGACTACAACATCGAACATCGGTGTGGTTGCGGGCACAGGTCCCGGCGGCTGGGTAGCGTTGCCGCCGCCTTCATCGCCACATTTCCGCACAGAGTTCCCTTCGCTAGAAGCAGCAGCTCAACCCTCACACCGCTCTACGGAACATTCAGGACCGCAGCCACAACTCAGACCACAAAGTAAATATTGATTACTAGCGGCCCGACCTGGCTCCACACGGGTGTATTAAATACTATGGAAACATAATGAATCAGCATCCGAAAAAAGAACATGAATAAATTAATGCAGATTATGAAGTTTAAGCTTTAAGAGTATTAAATTAATAACAAATCGAAGCAAAACTGCTGAAAACAGGTTGAATATCTGAATGTGACCTGAATTTACTTGGTCAGGGGAATGGCCTTAAGCTTAGCAAAAAATTTGTAAGTAAATAGGTAGAGTATATTAAATCTATTTGGCCATGGGCATGGCATCCTGATTTTTCTGTCAAGCAAAGAGTTTCTATTAAGCATATAGTTTGAATATCTTTTTATCCCAGAATTCCCAAGACAACGGGAATTTTGCGAGTAAAACCGGGGGGCGCAGTAATAACACATTAGAGCAAATATGCTCAATATATTTTATAGATAACTTGCTATCTTTAGGATGAATTCGATACGGCCATCAGGGCCGCGGAAGCATAATGGTCAGTGCATTCGCCCGGATAGCGAAGGGTGCGGGTTCGAGTCCCGTCTGCTGCATGGTCCGCGTGGAATTTTTTCTAGTATTATTTTCCTTAGATTTAAACATCGAGCAGTTAAATGCTTTAATATATATGTATATATATAACATAAGTAGATATATTTTTGATGCAAAAAACAAAAATATATGCAAAACACATTATTACTCATATTATGAGTCCAATATAAATAGGCCTGCAAAATGGTAAATATTATAATTATCAGATTCATGAACTTGTCAGTGACAATGTTGTCAATATTGTTGTTCCTCATGTATGTGATTCATTGGGCAGGGAACCTGTGATTGTATTATGGTGATGTTCTGATGGTATTTTGTCTTGTTTATAGCGGAAGGCAGCTGGACGTGCGGTGGTACTGTCGGCGTGCGTCAAGAAGCCGCATCATCTCCCGCCGCCGCGCCCGCCTCGACGCCCGCCTCACAACAAACGCCCGCCTTCCGTGCTATACTGCCGTCCTTCGTAAGTATCTGTTTGATATGAGGGGTATACAATCAAAGTTGTGAAGTCCATATTCCCAAAATGTTCAGTAAAACGATAAAAACGATTATTTTAATAATTACAGGTAATTATTGTAATATTAAACATTATTTATATGCAAAATGTAATACATTATACAACAAAAGAGCATTACATCATGAAAGGTGGCCATGACAGCTGTCAGTAAAATAGAGGAAATGGAGCCTTCCTTTTGGTCAAAAAGAACTTTACACAAATTAAAACTCAACTCACTTGGAATCACGTTTGTTTGTAAAGTCAATTTTCAATTTGAAATAACTGTCGAGATTTCTAGAATTTGTAAAACTCAACACTAAAACATTCTTCTGTTTTTTTTATTTGGCAAGTATTTAGTGATCTGTAGATCACGAATGCGCGTTGTGGCGGCATAAAAAAAACTACTGCTGGTACCATGCCAAATTCTTAACTACCTACATGATGATACATGTACTTAAATTTAATATTATTCACACTAACAGATACCCGCGACTTTGTATGCATTATAGTTAACGATTCTCTACATTCGACGGCAGATTGAAAGAAATTGTGTCAAGTGATAGTGGTTTTTTTATAAATAGCCAGGTAGGCAAATGACTCTACCCAACCTGATGTTAAGTGTAGATAAAGTCCAAACGCGAAGATAGTTGGTACAGCTTTTTCACGCCTCATTTAAAGGACCCCAGATTGTAGGTAGGTTAATACGTGCGCGGCAAAGAATTTCACTTACGAATAGTACGACAAAGAAATGATTCGCCAAATATTCTTTGTTCGTGTAGAAATACTGGCCACAGTAAGTCGCTGGCAACGTAGGCCAGCGCGTGGTATACTCGGTAGAATGCGCTTAATGATGCCACATCGCAGCGTAATTGTATCGCAGCGACTCGAGTTTGTTAGTTACCTCTTCATCGCCAATGATGCGGGCAGCACGCCGCTGCAACCTGTCCAAGGCATCACGTAAGTTTTTAGCGGAGCCATCCCAGAGGTACGAGCAATATTCCACGCAGGACCGCACTTGCGTTTTAAATAACGAGTACAGTTCGGGTGATCAGGCGTGAAAAAACGCCGCACCTTGTTCAGGACTCCGAGTTTGCGTGAAGCTGTTTTGATCACGGTTTCGATGTAGCCCTTTGGATTCAGGTCTGAGTGAACTTCCATACTGAGCATGGTGATGTTGCTCTGTAGCGCCAGTGTTGTGCCCTGAAGAGGAGGAAGGAGAAGGAATGGCGATGTTTTTGCCGTGAAAGCGCAAGCCTGAGTTTTCTTGGCATTGAACTCAACCAAGTTCCTAGTACCCAGGAAATGTGGTCCAAAGCCTGGTTTCTACCTGTCAGCTGCTGCGTGTTCATAGTATCTCGCAAGCACTGTACTATCGTCTACATAGCAATGAATATTCCCAAGAGAAATCAATCCATTGATATGCAACAGAAAGAGTATGGAGGATAGAACGGAGCCCTGAGGAACACTGGCACTCACTGACATGAACTGCGAAATACATCCGTCCGTAAGGACGCGAATTCTACGCTCATGCGGGAAGTCAGCTACCCAGGCGCAGAGCTGAACAGGCAGACCGTATGCAGGAAGCTCGCTAAGGCTTTTGTGCCAGACCATGTCAAAAGCCTTAGCGATGCCAAGGCTAATAGCCAGAAACTCCCCGCTCGTCTATAGGTTCACCCCAGATGTGTTAGAACTTTTCCAATAAATTTCTCTTTCTCTTGTGGCTAATGAGCTAGTGACCCATCTGGACATCGCAGAGGTGGCAGTGACGTCTGGCAGAAGTTGTGCTGCACGACCTTAGCCAAACGCCAAAAACCAAACCAAACGGGAGTCCGTAGGGTGCGTTAACAATTCCAGTTGCCAGTATATGCAACACGTTGGGAATCTGCTCCGATGTAAGCCATCTTACAGGACTTGGAAGCACTATTATAGGCAGCTTTCAGTGAGTCAACTCCGGGATCTTAAAAGCGCGGCCTCTGATCCAAGCGCGATATGCTGCCTGCTTACGTGAAACAGCATCAGCACAGGCGCGATTGAACCAGCGGATACGGGTGCCCTTACTGATTATATAGGAATGTGGAATGTAATACTCCATTCCCATTACGATTTCCTCAGTAATAGGTCCTTTTCACTGAAGCAGCACTGCTTCCAAGGGACGGAAGCAAAGTAGTCGCGCGAACCATCCCAATCTGCCGACCCATAGTGTGTGTTTGACCACCAATGGTCGAGGGGGTTTGGCCTGCCAACCTTGGCAGATATCAGGCAATGATCTGATCAACCCAGTGGGGCTCAAACCACAACCTGATACTCCTGCTAAAGAAGGCGCTTGACTTGCTGAATCTGGGATCCTGGTGGGCTGATCGACCAGTCATGCGTGAGAGCGAATGCATGGGCAGAGATCCCTGCATGGTCAGTTTTAGATGAGCTCAACCATAAACCGTACTAGGCGTTAAAATCCCCCAAGGATCTCTAGAGGCACATGTAGACTGACCAAAGGACTAAAGTAAACTTGTTCCGCCAACATGAAGGAGGGGTTTTTGAGGGGTGCCATTTTAACATTTGACGCGTATCGAAATCGAATTGAAGTGCTAAAATTCGATATTGGTTCATACTAAGGCTATCATAATGAAACTCTTGTTGGAGCTGGACACGACCCACAGCAGAAACCTGACTGTTTTATTGTAATGCTTATATGCAGGCTAGAACTGGTGTGACAGATGTGATATACACAGTGAAGATATGAAATGGAAATGGACAGGGGCCCAATTCTCGCGGCGTAGATATTATATCGGCTTCGAGATAATATCGTAAGTAGGGATATCTATTGAAAATATCTACTGATGGTAAAAAATGCTATTCTCCTGGATTTTCGATGTTCCAATGATATTTATATCTATCATAGATATTCTTTCACTGACGAATGCGTTCCGTTTTTCTCGATTAAGTTAACATCATAGTTTATATAAAATAATAATAAATTAGAGCAGAATTTTACAAGCAACAAAATGATATTTTAAATTTTATGAATTCCATTCATATTAAATATGAGTATACATTTTTTGAGTACAAGAAATCTCAACTTTACCAAAATTGTATGCGTATAAAATTTCAACGTCAATATTATTTAAGATTCTCCCTTTTCAGGGAAGGCAAAGGGAACAATGCCCATACAGCCTAGTCTTTAGTTATATTAATCTTCTTTTTTTTACATTAGAATGTCGGTGTGACGCATTCTAATGTTTCTTGGAGTGTTTGGCACGAAATTTATGGAGTTGGCTTTTTCTCTAAGCTTCTGTGAGGTAGTCAACACTACAATAAAGTTCTCGCGTCCACTTGACCGGAATAGCGTATATTTTAAAGATTCCACTAATTCCTCAGTTGTGCAGACGGTTATAACACCAAATCACACCAATTTTATTTCACAATATCCACTATTTTTAGAATAATTAAAATGAGACGCCAACCGCACTCGCAGAAATCCCGCCAAAAACTCCGTATCGTCAATAAGAAAATGGTGTCGATTCTGGCATGATTTTCTAAACCTAAACGTAAATTTGACAACTGTGTATCCTTGTCATTCTCCAAACAGAATGAAAAGGAGAGACTGATGTTAAATTTAGTTTTAAGTTTAAAGAATCGTGTCAGAATCGATACCAATGTCATTCATAACTTTATAGATTTCTAACCAAATTTTTGTTTAAACGTATTTTTTTTATGAAGTCGGCGTCCCTCATTTCAAATGGGCCCTCTTGCACTCACAACGGCGGCGCCTTCACACAGCAGCAGCAATCACGTCATTTATTAAATCATTGACGAAAACACGAATCAACTCATCCATCGTTAATATAAACTTGTTTACCTTCTTCTTTATGTACTAATTATTTATGAAGGCAGTTAACAACATCTTGAGGTAACAATAATTGGCAATGACACACGACAAGACAATAAATAATAGGTAAAAAAAGTGGAAATAACAAGATTGACATGCCAAGATCCATAGATATTTATGTATCGAAGGCTCTTCACCAGTCGATGTATGTCTACTGATCATCCGTAGATAAATATCTATTGCGACATGGTGAGAATAGGGCAAAAAGGTTTTCCTTCGATAAAAGCCAGATCATTCGATATATATCGAAGGTGATATAATATCTATGCCGCGAGAATTGGGCCCCAGGACATATAATAAAAAGCAGGAAAAATAAATGGGCCAAAGATGTTACTGTGTGGTACTCTCGGAATGGAAAAAGAAGAGAAAGAAGACAAAGGAAGAGATGGGAAGACTAAATAAATGTGGCTGCAGGAGATGAAGTAGAACGGCCATGGAAAAACAGCTTTGGGGAACTCTGGGGGAGGCCTTTTCCCAAGGGAAATCAGCTTAATACTGTTAAGTTTAATATAATAAGTTAGTCAAAATAAAGGCTTATTTTATTTTATATATTTTGTATTATTGCAGCTGATGAAAGGTAGCAACGGCAGTGGGCTCGGGCTGGGCACGCTGGGGGCATTGCGCGAGACGCGCGGTACCGCCCCACCCGGCGGAGGCGGATCGCCCGCCGGCCAGCGGCCTGCGCCGCGCCCGCCGCCTGCCACGCCGCGCGCTGTCGAGCTGCTCACCGCGCGTCCCATCCTGCGCGACGAGCAGATCTCCTCGCTCGACGACATCTCGCGCGACGCCGGCTGGGCGCAAAACGACGACATTGATTACGAGTGAGCTATACACACTCACGCGCAAATAATTATACCAAGAGCATCGCGATATGATGATATACAATCCCGATTTTTGAGATCTTGTTGATATATTATAGAGATTGAAAGTAACTGTTGAAGGATACATCTAAAGAAAATATAACTAGAAAAAATTCCACGCGAGCCAGGCAGCAGACGGGACTCGAACCCGCACCCTTCGCAATCCGGTCGAATGCACTGACCAATTATGCTACCGCGGCCCTCACGGACCGCGTCGAAATTCTTCTAGCCATTCTTAAGCTGCAAGGCAGCGCCATGTCTTCGCATTATAGGTAACTCACAATGTCAAATGAATACTTTTACAAGTATTAAACATTTGAAAGAAGAAATAGCAACTATAGTTATAATTTATATTATTTTTTTTGCTTTAAAAATATTTGATCAGTGCATTCGCCCGGATTGCGAAGGGTGCGGGTTCGAGTCCCGTCTGCTGCCTGGTCCGCGTGGATTTTTTTCTAGTTATATTTTCTTTAGATTTAAACATCAAGCAGTTACATGCTTTAAAAATAATAAAAATTATAACTATGTTGAAGGATAGTTAAATATTTCGTATGAAAGAAAAGATGACAGACGGGATAACGAAATTAGTATTTCATATCGCGGTGATCACGATAAAATAAACCGTATTTATATGACAATTAATACACTCGGAATTCCAAATTAACTCATTCTTATTATTTTTAATTCCAGTCAAAAATTAGATTTCTCCGATGGAGAGTCGTCGGCCCCCAAGTCTGCAAATAAAAATAACCGGGCCCACGTTGAAACAGAACGAGTGGACGCGAAACTCCAAGAACCCGGAGACGAGGATCAAATTTGGGCAGAACGCCGACAGAAACATAATAACGAGGTCACTCAGGCGGTGGCCCGCGCTAAACAGCGCAAGGAAGAGGAACAAAGGCGCCAGATGCGCGATTCAACGCAGCAGCTGCCGAAAGATTCTCGTGATAGATCTGACAGAGGCGACAGGGATCGCAACGATAACAGGGAAAACAGGGATAGGGAGCACGATACGCGAGACAAAGAAAGGGGAGATAACAGAGATCGTGCCGATAATAGAGAAAGAGACCGCATGGATATTAGGGATAAAGAACGTAATGATACTCGAGATAATAGGGATAGGGAAGGGCGTGACAAAGATCGCGTCGATAACAGAGATCGCGACCGTATGGAAAACCGGGACAGATTCGATAATAGAGATCGCGATCGGGACGTAAGAGATAGAGACCGAGATCGTGATCGCGACAGGATAGATAATAGAGATCGAGGTCGCATGGATAATAGGGATCGCCAAGAGAGTGAAAAGGATAGAATGGATAATCGCGACAGAGATCGCAATGATAACAGGGATCGTGGAGATCGTGATAGATTTGAGAGGGACAACAGGGAACGCGGAGACAGAGACCGTGAACGCGACCGTGATCGTGACCGCGATCGCGAGCGTGACCGTGACCGTGATCGCGACCGTATAGAAAGAGATAGAAATGAACGCGATCGCGATTTCCGAGACAGAGATCGCGATTACGGTCGAGAGCGGGATCAATCGAATCCTGCTTTTTCTAAAACTTTCCAAGCTAATATTCCACCTAGATTTTTAAAGCAGCAACAAAACAGACAACAGGATGATCAGCACAATAAGGCATGGGCGTTCTCTGGTAAGCCGGGCCCTCGGCGCCAGGAACCACCCCCTTACAACGCTCCTCGTCACGCATCACACAATGGACGACGTTCATACTCAAGGTAATCTTTTTTATGCTATTTCATTTATGTGTTGAGTAGTTACTGTTAACTTATAGTTATTAAATGAAACGGTTCTTTTTTTTTCAGAGATTATTCAGATCGCGAGGATGATTTCAGAAGAGAAAAAGATGCACCTGGGCCGCAATGGCGTTCCGAAATGCAAGATTATGACAGAACTGGTAGAGACCACATAGAAAGGTCTAATTCCAAGGACTCTTATAAGGATTATGGGGAATACAAAGACAGAAAACCGACCGATTTGCCCAGCGCCATAGAAAGTTGCAATAGAACAGCTGCTGATAAATTGACAGAAGTCTTTGAAAGAAAAAGTATTGGTGTTGCTGAATCTTTTGCTTCTTCCGATTCATCTCAAACACAAGTATTGGAACGACGCAATTCGCCACCTTCAAATTCTTCTCAAAGAGAATCATCCGAGAGAGATTTCGGTAAAACTTCTTGGGCTGAAGTAACCCAAGAAGAATCTAGTAACTACTCCACTCTAAAAGGTCCTGTAGAAAAAACTGCGCCTACAGAAAGTGAACAGATTGCAAAAGAGCCTACAAAGCAATCTTCAATGGATAATGACATCAAAACGATTCCACAACCATTACAAACGCCTTCAGCTCCATTGCCACAACAAGTACCAACACAGATGAGCAATACATCGGCAGTTCCCTTGCAACTAATACAAACCCACAAATATAACAATAATAATCAATCGTCTGGTACACAAAGCTTGCCTCAAAATTTGCAAATAACTCAAGTTAATTCTTATGCAAATAACCAAGTTCCACCTACCACTCCTATTACTCAATCTCAGCCTCCACAGTCCGAAAATCAAACACTTACTAAACCTACTAACCAATCATTACCTAAACCTGCTAATGTTAATGAAAATTTTGCTCCTCCTCCAACTCAAAAACAATCTGAACAATTACTTGTACCTACTGCAAATAAACCAATGTTTCCATCACAGAAATCCGAGAGGGAACTTTCTGAGTCTGAATCTATTGCATCTAAGTCGAGTACGGATCCTTCTGGGTTAGTAGGTATGAAAACAATTGAAGGAATTTCTGTAGAATCTCTTCACGCTAATGTCGATTCGCAAAAGCGAGCGAGCGATGAAAAACGTAATGAACGATTCAGCAACGAGCAGCTAAACAAAATTCCTCCGAAGGATCCTGTAGAGCGTAAGTCAAGTGGATCGGGATCTGAAAAGAAAAGTAGAGGGTATGGTAGCAGCGGTTACGCTGTTTACAACAGAGGTTGGGGACCTAGAGAATCTCGTGGGCGACGTTCTCACCGTAGCTCACGCTCTAATAATAGGGCCAGTGAATCTGATGGCTCTACTGATGGAGCTCCAAATTCTGAACGTAAAGAGAGACGCAGGGCTCCACGGAGTCCTCGTGGGCCCAAGAAAACTGATAGACCTGAAGACTCCAATCGCCCTAATGCTTCCGAGCATACGCCTTCGGTGTCCGATGGCTTAGAAAATAGGGAGCCGTTTGCACCACGAGGGCAACCTTCACGACGTGGGCGGGGAGGATTCCAAGGTACAACGAGACCACCAGCGCCGGCTAAACGGGTCACAGGCTATGGTCCTCCAAATACTAAAAGTCCTTTCAGCCAAGCAAATAGAGTTAAGGATGATGAAATCAATAAGGATGGCTCACAGCCAGACGAAAAAGGCAAGGCTAACAACAAACCGCGAACTGGTTCTTCCACCGGTAGGGGTCGTGATCGTCGGCCTAAAGGAGCTGGACCTCTTAGCGGTGAGGATGAGAATTGGGAAACGACATCAGAACATTCCGAAGGCGGTGGTAACACTGGCCGACATCGATCTGTAGGAGGTAGGCAAACAGGGCAATCTCAAAAACCTCAAGGAGGACGTAACCAAAATGCAGGCAACCGTCAAAATAACAATCGCAATGCTCCGAACAATAAGAAGGACGCTGCAGGTGATAGCAAAACTACTGAAATTACAGAGGCTATGATTGATCTGAAGCTGTTATCTGCTGTCAAGAAAGACGACGAAGTTGTGGACGACGGATTCCAAGAAGTGAGGAATAAAAAGAATTCTAAGGACATGAGGGGGCTACAGACAAAAGATGACATTCAACAAGCGCCAAAGCAACCTAGATCTCACTCGAACCAAGGTGGTGGTAGGAATGGATCATCCTCAAGGAATTCTAGTGATAAGTCAAATTCTCGCGGGACAGCGTCTACATCTGGTAAATCTGGTTCACAATATGAGCGTCCACGCCAAGCTAACTTGGCGCCACGTTTTGTCAAACAAAGACAAAAGCAAATGGGTCTGGTAACCGCATTCGGTCCAGATACAGGTGCGGCCCCACCACCGCCACCAGTAAACGCTTGGGATAAGCCCATTTCGCAAACACTGCGTGGAAATGTCGAAGAACCTGCAGAACCTGTTGAAAACAAGTCGGGTCAATCGAGTCAACGTAGTACTCCTGCAGAAACTATATCGGAAGTGAAACCAGCACCACAGGCCACTGTATCTTGTGCTATGGCTTCAGAAAAAGCTGGTGTACTTGACGGGACCACACCGCCTGTAGAAACTATTATATTTGAGAATACAAACTATAAGACTGCTCCACCTGCCGAGGCCTTAAAACAAAAATATCAACCCAGCGCTAATGCTGCCAAAACGCAAGGCGAAGAAATTCCTGCTGAAATGGAACCTAGAGCTTTGCCTTTCAATGGGGACGTACGTCCTCGCCCGAGATCTATACAGGAACTCATTGGCGATAATGGGAGACCAACAGGGGATGGCGACGGTTCTTTGGCTATACAGATGTCTTTCGAATCGTCTCAGAAACCTGAAGATTCATCTGACATGAAGCTTGATTTCGCCTTTGATTCTGATCTGGGGCAACTCACTGAAGATAAAACTGCAAAAACACTTGGTTTACCGCGTGGTGTACACATGAGTACATCGAACACGATTTCTCCTCTCGCTGCAGATCTCAATTTGAAAATAGCAAGCGTAAAGAAAGTTTGGGAAATGCCGGCAGTCGCCGAGGGATCAGAAGATTTACAGTTTGCTGGATTTGAAGAGAACAATACAGAAACTGGTGCACCGCCGAACGTTTGTAAAGTGAAACCGACGCAGCAGCTACAGTCGCCACCGCCTCAACACTATAACCATGTGGGTTATCAAGGAGGTTACGGAGGCCTATCGGTTCCCTCGCCACCTGCAGTTTTGTTTAACTCATCACAGCAGTTATTGGGGTCATCACAACAATTACAACAACAAGGCGGGTTGTATGGTGCTTTCCTTGATCAAAGTCGAGGGCAGTTTGGTGGATTCCCTGGCACTCCTTATGGCGCCGGTTCTGCTGCCCCATATAATTATCAGCCACCGCCTGACATGTTCCAGAGCCTTCCAAGTCAATATAGAATGGTAAGGGTAATTTTAATTATTATAGATATATTATTTTTAAGTTAATCAATGTTTAAGCCCTTCCTTTCTATTTGTAGGCGGCAGCTGCAGCAGCCGGTGGTGGTGCAGCCTTCGGTCAGTCGGGACAGATCGCAAATAGTCCGAACACTGTCCTAATTTCCAGCACCTCCAACTCGCTCATGTCAGCTACCGTCAAACCTTCGAGTCAGCAAATTGGAGCTATTGGTAAGACAATGTTTTCCTAGTTATTAACCAAAGTCTTGCATCTCAATACAATAAAGCAACAGAATACCTATTATTTTAAATAGAAATCAATGTTCTTATAACTAGCCTAATTTACTACGCCAATTTGTTTGTAACATATTTCTTCATAGCCGAATAAAGTGGTTAACAACACAAACACGAGTATCTTCTCATCTATTCTCGAGAAGTTTTCTGGGGTGTAAAATAAAGTATAAAAGCCAAAGGTGGTCATTTCGAATAGAATATTTATTTACTTTTGCTATACTAATAAATATGTAGGTATAAATTTTAATAATAATACTTAACTACTTCATTAAAAAAATGCATTTATATTTGGAACAGAACTTATGGCTGGACTAGGTATACAGTTAAATAAAATAAAAATTGTGACAACTCTGCTACAATGACGAATGTCTAGACAAAAGCGGCATTTCGTGAGACTTCAAAGGCATCACCACTGTTAGTTTCTAACACTGTGCTAATATTATCAATGCGAAAGTGAGTTTGGTTGTTACTCAATCACGTAAAACGGCTGAATGAATTTGGGTGAAATTTGGCATACATAGTTTATTACAATTGACACAGGACATTTTTATCCCGAAAAACTGTTGAGTTCCTGAGGGTTTCACAAACAACTAAAGACAACACGGACGAAATGACGGGCGGCCGCTAGTGCAATATATGTGTCCCAATATTCGTCCGAACCCATCCAACCGATTTCGCGTTTAGTAATCAATATTCATAGTTTCTCATTTATAACCTCAGTAGGATAGTACTGAAAACTTATTATTACACTGTTTCCCAGGAAGCAAAGGTGGCGGCGTAGGCGGCGTCGGCGGCGTGGGTGGCGTGAACACGTACCAACAGCAGTACCTCGGCTACTCGGGCCCCGTAGGCGAGGCGCCGTACTCTTTACCCGGGCTACTGCCGCGGCCTGCGCCCCCCGCCAGCTCCTACTACTCTCCGTACCAACCGCCCGCCGCGCCGGCACCGACTTACCCGCTGCAGTTCACGCAGCCAGCGCAGTCGGGCGCGTTCGGCTCGCAGTTCCTGTCCTCGCAGCTGCAGGTGGCGGCCGCGGTGCAGCAGATGCAGGTATATACTTTAGTTTTAAACCTTTTTGTTTCATGTCATGGTGGCCACTCATCATCCTGCCGCTTGATCAAGCCAAACTAACTTTGTGTGGGGAGACAATTTGGAAGAACGTGCCACTTGATGGAAGGATTTTGGTTTGATGAAGCCTGTTTGATCAAGCGATACGACTTGATGGTGAGTGGCTACGATTAAAAGGGTGGCAAACAATCATATGACCTATCTGATGGTAAACAGCCACCAAAGCCTATAGACGCTTGCGATACAAAAAATATAGCTCGCGCCGTTGTTTACCTTGATCCAATCCCCTACCCAGTGAAGCCCTGGAACCTTACTCACCTACAAAAACATAACACCATCCAAAGATAGTGTTAAAGTTATTATACTGTGGTCTACTGTAAGGTGGAACCTCCACTTCCCCAGACGGGCGCTCCAATTCGTGGAGAATATTTGTTATACCTCTTTTCCACAACCTGCTCAAAACGGGCAGAAAGGCCACTAATCTGAATTAGTAAATCATCACCAGTCATTAATACCACTGCTGAGCTATAGGCAATTTTTCGTCATAGATAGGATAGGGAGAGTGGGGTATGAATTAAACATTGAAAATTATAAAAGTCGCGACACTTGTAGTAATGAAGAGCCATTGGTTCAATGGCAGTGCTTCCTCTGTGTAATTCAAAGATTCTGGATTAAAATCTCGTCCAGTACATTTATTTGTATGATGTTTCACGAGTCAGGTTGTTTATACACTTATAAAATGTAGTGTACACGTTATTAAGTTTCTGTAGTACTAGCTTAGAGTTTGGGACTAAATTATTGTTGCGAGTAGCGCAATTGCGACACAGCCATATTTGTGAATGGACTCCACTTAATCAGAAATCAGACGGAGATGGGTAAATTGCTGCGCTTTCTATAAAAAATCATTCTTTTGGGTTGTGTTAGCAGTCACTGGACCCGCCTTTTTTCAAGCTTGGAGATTGTACACATGAATTTTGGGTTATAAAACCCTCCGTGTGGTGCCTATTTCATCATCATCCTCAGGTGTAGTCGGGACCAACGGCTTAACGTGCCTTCCGAAGCACGAAGGAGCTTGAGATAGCGAATTTTTGGTCACCCATCCAATGGATCGACCACTGTGAAAGTTGCTTAACTTCAACGATCACAGGTGAACGCGCTAACCACTTCCGCCATCGAGCCTATTTAGCCATCCCTAATAAATTCTAATTTGTCTACAGCAGCAGCAGTATCGCACGCCGATGCAGCAGCAATACGCGCCGCCGCAGCCGCGCCCCCCTCCGCAGCAGCAGCTCAAGAGTCCCTTACACGAGCATGCGAACGGTTTCGCGCCATTATGCGACGCCGCATCGCCAACGCCCAAAGGCGCGAAGCCGCAGAAGCCACCACACTCGCCGCCGCAGCACAAGTACCACGCGCATCCGCCGCCCGCGCACACGCCGCACCAACACCCGCATCACCATCAACAACACCAGCAGCAGGTATCTACATACATACCGTAAACTTTATGGCTCCTACGCACAATGTCGGCGGCTCGTGCCACAGAAAGTTGGACAAAGCTTTTGAGCATCTAGCATCCCGTGGCTTCTATCTGCGGACCGCGGCTAGGCCGGCGGCAGTTTCGCAAGTACTGTTTGTAGTAGCCATTAGCACGTACCAATAACAAAGACTAGTTGAATTTGATATCGATACGCGCCAAATTTCAAGAAGTTTTGTTTCTAGCCGCGAAAGCAACATCGCACACGGCGGGTAATTTTTTTTTTGGTATCATTCTAGAACTGCCAAGTCGAACTAACGTTTATGTTATTAACACTATTCGCTTTAATTCGAGAAGAACACACCGCGTATAAAAAAAGTAGTAATCCGTATGATTCCAGCAGATGGTCGGTCCCGGTCCGGGGAGCGGCGCCGGCGGACGGTGCGGCTCGCAGCAGGGCGGCGGTGGCATGCGCGGCACAATGGTGGCGCCGCGCTACCCCGCGCCTATCCAGCGTCCGCACGCGCCGCCCGCGCCCCTGCCGCTGTACCGTGCGCCCGCGCAACCGCCGCGCACGCACCACGCGCCCCGCCACAACCTGTACTACCACCACCAGCAGCGCAGTTAGTACCCGCCCCCTCATGTACACCATCAGGGGGCGTTCAAGTATAACGTAACGTAACGCATACTTTAACTCATAAATGTTACGTTACGTAATACTTGAACGCCCCCTCACCCTATTCCAGAAACGGTCGCCGGAGTCGTGCCTCGCGCGATCCTGATGTCTCCACTGCTGGCGCACAGGTCTACTATATGAATGGAATGGGGAGATTGGCTCGTGACCCACGGTTTAACGAATCTTTCGTAGCAAAGATAAGCCTGAGATAATAAATATTTGATCCTATGACTTGTAAACGCGAAAGTTGTTTCTTCCACCATTGCAAACAGAATCCTTCATGAAAACATTCATTCAGAACTAATATTATAATTTTCCTTCTTTATAATATATACAGTGGTGGTCATATAATTAGAAACACTTCTTATTTCAAGTATAACTTTAACGTACAAATGTTCGTAAAAAATTACACATTCAATAATTAATGATCATGCAATAATATAGCCACTTAAATAAATAAGTCGTTAATAATAATAATAATTTATTGGAACCACTTTACATTTTAGTACATGATAATGTGAACCCTGTCCTCTGGAAAAGGTTACCCTGAGGACCAGAAGACAGTGCTCTCCCCACTATTGTTACTTTAGAGCTACAATAATTTAAAACCACTAAATAAAAATGATATAAAAATAATGTTATATTTGATATTGTAGAATAAGATTTCTTTCTTGGATTTTTCTATTATTTTGGCCGCAATTCAAAATTAAAGTCCTGTAAATAATGCTTTTAACTATAAATACACAAGGACTACAGTCAAGCATGGTGGCGGTAACATTAAAGTTTGGCGATGTTTTTCCGGATGTGGAGTTGTACCCGTTCAGAAGATTGAAGGTACAATGGATCAGTTGCAATACAAATATCTATAAAAAAACTATCTTAGAGCACGCAATGATTCCCTACTCGGACGATCATTTGCCTGTACCCTACACACACGGCCAATAGCATCAATTGTCTCCTTAGCGAACAGCGTATATCCGTTTTAGACTGACCAGCAAATAGAATGGATTTAAACCCGATAGAAAATCTGATATATTGTTAAAAAGGAAGTCTCAAACAAACGTTACACCAGTCAGCACGAACTATATGAAGCATTTGTTGAAGCATGGAATTCAAACCCGCTAGAAAAATGTATGAAATTGATTGAATCAATGCCCCGTCGTTGTAGTGCTGTTATTGGAAATATACGGATAGGGATACGCCATTCCATTCCATACGCCAACGGGATGCTCCCCTCCGGATCTCGACCACGAGTAGACGCTTCCAAGTTCACGTTTGTTTATCTCACATAATTTAAATACAAATTAAAATCATAAATCAGTGTAAGAAAATAGGAGTGCATAAATCATCAAGAGTACGAGTAATACGGTGAACGCCAGACACCACTGCCGCTCCCGCCGTGCCGTCGCCGCATCAGCGTTAGTGTGCACACGGCTTCTGTGCGTGTGCGCGTACCTGCTACACGTCTCGGTGCGTAACGTAAACAGCTATCCGTCTCGTTCATCCGACGGCACGCACTGTCAGACCGCACCATCATTGACTTATGCGATCCTGGTACTGCTGGCTAGACTTCTTTATCGATTTTTGCTACAATCATTAAACCCTAAATAAAGCAAATTGAGTGCTTCCTGGAGAAAATTTTAAATTCGGACTGGATTTTTTGAAAATTCGCGCCATTGAATGATTTTTTCCATCTCGTCTTACCAACATTATAACAACCACTGCATAAGCTATGCGATCCTGGTACTTGCAATAGTGAACCCAGATTACTAATATACAGAATATCAGTTAATACGACTGAATACAGTACCTGCGGTGTCACTATTATACTTACAGCTGGTTTATGCGATCCCAGTGCAACATTTCACAAAAAAACAATATTTTGAGCATAAAATCAGCCGAGAAACAAACACAACTCAATTTTTGGTTTGCTACGTGACTGCTACGAGTGTTGTAATCCTAGTACACAAGACAAGTAAGACAGATTATATCATCTTTAATTATAAAATTATTTGAATTTCGCGCCACCATTTTATACCACCGCAAGATTGTGCTATACTAGTCCTTAATTTCACATGCTACAAACTAATACAATTATATCAAAAACACTTATCGGAGAGGAAACTTTATTGCAAAGATTGAGTTGCTACTACTATAGACCTATGTTATCCTAGTGACTTGAGCAGATTACTTATATTATATTTATTATCACTTTACTATAAAAGTACACGTTCCGTGTCGAACCTACTGCTATCTCTTTGTGGTCTCCTTGTACACGCAAGTATGAATAAGTCTTTGTCAGAGTCAAACTTGAACGACCAGATAAATGAACCAATTGTTACCCCTCCTAACTTTGTTTTTGGTCGTGCCAAAAAGAGGAAAGAACAAGACAGTCCTACTAGCCAGGGACAGTCTACCCCCAGTACTGTATTGAATGATCTATACCTGTTTAAGGAAGAAATGCGAGGGATGTTTGCCTCTTTACTTGCTGCCCAGCGACAAGAATTTAATAACATAAACCCCACCTTGAAAAAAATTCAAGAAACCAATGCAAAGATTGAAACTTCTATAGAATACTTGCATAAAGAGAATGCAGAATTAAAAAAGAAAATTGAGAATATAGAACTACAGAAAAAAGAAGATGCTAAATACATTATCACACTTGAAGACAAAATTGAAAACATGCAAAAAAGCTATAGAAAAGCCAATTTTGAAATTAAAAATGTGCCAAAATTAGAAAAAGAGACAAAAGATGATCTGATAAAATTTGCTACCTGTCTTTCTACCACAGTGGGTGTGAGCATAACGAAATCGGACATTAAGGACATATACAGAGTTCGAGCAAGGAAAGACAGTGTTTCTAACACACCCGTCGTTGTGGAAATGAGTTCAACCCTGCTAAAGACCGAAATATTACAGAAATGTAAAGTCTTTAACACAAAGAACAAAACAAAACTTCGCGCGAAGCATCTGGGATCTGTTGTAAATGAAGAGAGCCCTATCTTCGTCTCCGAGCAACTGACACCCAAGGCCGCACGATTGTATTTTCTTGCACGGGACCTAATAAAATCAACGGAGTTTACCTTTTGCTGGACGGCGTACGGAAACGTTTATGTTAGAAAAGACGAGAACTCCCCAATCATAACCATTACTAACGAATCTCAAATCAAACAGCTATTTAAAATTGTATGACTAGATATTATGCATGTGCTCGTCTTTAGAATAAATGTCCATGTTTTTTGTATCTTTATACTGGTATTTCTGAATCATGGACATACATTATGTAACTCTTCAAGCAATCACAACATACACACACTCGCTACCTTTTCCAATACAATCACAACCACATACACACAATACCAATTCATAAGCACAACACTAAGAAACTACACCCACTATCACTTAAATACAATAGACCTGTACAATAAAAATAACAAACACATAAATTTAACTCCTCACTCAAAACGCTTTTGTTTACTTTTGCTGCATATGACCACTTGCTCTCAAGATGATTTTCAGCCTGAAACACTAATAATAAATGGCGGATAACCTTAGAAACATAAATGAATTGGATGATTTCGCGGTTGCCAAGTCCGTATCATGTGACATAGTAGACTTAAGCAAGTATATAAAATTAAACAAAAATGATCTAACATTAATTCAACAAAATATCAGAAGTATTTATTGCAACTTTGATAACTTTGAGGCTACCCTGTCTAACCTCAGTTCAGATATTGACGTTAAAATACTCACTGAATGTCGCCTCAACACAAACAAACCCATCCCCACCATAAGTAACTATATTCAATATGCTACCGCTTACAATAGTAACCAAAATGATGGTGTGGTTATTTACGCAAAATCCAAGTTGAATCCAGTTTTTAAGGAACATGTCCTGGAAAACGCATCGTGCATACAATTAGATATATGTGAGTGTACTATATTAGGTATATACCGATCACCTTCTTATCAGAATGCATCTAACTTTATTATGTCTCTGAATGGTGTATTAAATACGATTAAGCGCAATCGAAATATAATAGTATGTGGTGACATTAATATTAACTTAATTGTAAAAGAGAATGAATCATCATATGATCGTAACAACCGGGATTCTTACCTTAACATGCTATCCTCACATGGTCTATTACCTGGGCACGTAATTCCTACGCGAGAAAACAGCTGTCTTGACCATTTCATTTTAAAGCTTGATAATACTAGACTATCAGCGAGTATTGCTGTCCTAAACACTACTGTAACAGACCACGACTCGGTATTTATGAGTATCTCAAAAATAAAAGCTAATTTCCATTTTCCAACTATCAGGACATATATTGACTTTGAAGAAGCTGCACAAAAACTTTTAAATAAACACTTATCTAGTTTGTTACTTTGTGACGACCCTAACTTTGTGATACAACAACTAATTAACAAACTTACATCATCCCTGGAAGAGAGTGTTAAGACTAAGATGCTATCAAATAAACAACGTATTATTAAGCCCTGGATCACCAGTGGTATATTACGCTGCATTAGAAACAGAAATAGAATGCAACTAAAGTTAAGATCTGATCCGTATAACGTAATCTTAAAAATAACATTTACTAGATACCGTAATTATTGTAACAAATTAATTAAAAAACTTAAACGTAAATATGAATCTGAACTACTAGAAACTAATGTTAAAAACTCTAAAGCTCTATGGAAATCCGTCAAACAAATAACGCACCTTAATACAACTAAAACTAGAAACTATGAATTACTCTGTACTCGAAGTTCTCCTACAGAATCAGTTAATTATGTAAATAATTTTTTCGCCAATATCGGCAAAAAACTTGCAGAAAATATCCTTAGCCGGTCCTCACAGCCTCTCGAAAATTTAATACCCACTCCGAAAGTACAACTATCTTCTTTTGTTCTTCTGGATACTGATCCTGGGGAAGTTGA